CGTCAAAAATCACAAGCGCTGCAAGAGAGTTTCAATGCATACATAATTTGTTGATACAATAACATGTATGATGTTTACCTTCGATGAAATTTCATCGGCTAAAATAATACTTGATGTATCCCATCAAGCAATTTAGGTACATATGAAATTCTATCAAGTATAAACCTCAAATCAAGATGAACCAAACATAATATTAGAACGGAACTCTAATAAAAAAACATTTGTGTTAAAAAATCAAAATACACTTGTATGTAAATAGAAAAAGTAATGTCTAAATGTGATAGTTCATTGATATTGAACCTAAGTAGACTTTACACAAATCACAATGCTCACAAAGATAGTATTTTTTTATATTCATTTGAAATATATCTATCTCAAGCTTATGCAAAAAATTAAGATTTATAACAAGATTATAATTTGATTACATGGACATATTAACATTTAAGATACAATTTTATTGCTTGATCACAACGCTAACAACATATGTGAACCTTCATGCATATATATATATATATATATATGTGCAATCAGATATGTTGGATCAATTACAGTGAAATCTTTACACAAAGCATATATAATGGACACAAAATTGTGCAACAATAAGGATGTATTTTGCAACTCTAATCTCATGAATATGAATGTCTGTATGGCTTGGTTGCAACGTGATGAATGCTAAGAATCCATGTTTTTGTCGCACTTGAGTGACTCTTCTTGAAGTTGCAACAAGAAGAATTTTGAGTGTACAACTGTAGTTCAGTAACATTATAGAGAGCAACAAAGCTCTTTGCACAAAAAACTTCATACTACCTATCCAATATTAAAATGGTTTATGGTTAAAAAATTTGTATGAAGCAAATGCAAAATCCTCAATATTCAAGATGAAGACAATAAAATGAATATCATCCATTGTTGTTTTGTAATTCTGATAATCTGAAAAAATTGATGTTGTGTCATTTCAATCTATAAAAATATCTACAAGCTGTGTTCAAAATACCTATAAGGATCGAATCTCATATTAGATGAGAGTACATCAAAGAACTTCAAATCATGAAAGGAGTTGTTTTGACTCATCTAGATCAGACCGACATTATATCGGATGTCAATGCCATTATGTCATGATTGGAACCTTAAAGTGCAATCCAAGTTAAAGAGATGAAGAAGGTGAAAGATACTAAAATGTTTAACAAGTAAATAGATTCATTCACAGAATTAGTATATTATGAGAATGAGTTCCTATATGTTTTGAAAGTGGAGTCTAATTAATTAACAGAGATATGAAATCTCAGTTTTTATGCAGCATATTGTGTGTATGGAAATTTTGCTAAAATTTTGCTTGATGAGATCCCATCAGAACGCTGACTGCTTGATGGGATCCAATACGTTCCATTTTACCCGATGTGATACTTCCGACGGCAGTTCAATTCTTTGTCACCGAGTTTCAACTACGAGTTCTTGTAATTACTTTTAATCCGGGTTAGGAAAAGCATTGCAGTTCTTTTTTGAAAAGTGACTTCTCCCTGCAAGCATTTCACGGACCAAAATACGCAACTTACGTGACTTCGGCCAAGAGTTTTAGAAAAAAAAGAGTAATCTAACTGTAAAATCATTCTAACACGTGAGAAATTGGGCTCTTGCACGATGAAGATTGGAAGCCATGAAAAATCTAACTAACTTAAATTTGGAAAAAAAAAATTTGTTTCATTGAAGTAGAAACAAAGCAGTTCAAAGAACATCACTGACGACAATTCGTCGGAAGTGTACCATTGGGTAAAATGAAACGTATTGGATATCATCAAGCAATCAGCGTTCTAATGAATCCCATCAAGCAAAATTCTTTTGGTGTGTATATGTATATACACAAACGTCAATCAATGTATATGTATATACTTAGATTGATGTGTAGTCTCCACATATAATATAATCTTTGGACAACTATATACAAAGTCTAAAAAGAAGCAAAAACTAGTAAATTTTTTTTCAATAGTTAAGTTTTTTTTATTTTTCTAGGAACAAAATTCACTTTATTGCAATTTTTGCACATATTTTTCCAGCTTTGTTTGACATCTGCAAGCTACATACAAAAATCTCCATGCATATTTCAATAGGTTTTTTTGACATATTCTATCTGAGATTTGATCATTGCTGATTTTGAATTTAAAATTGCAATAGTTGAACACTAGGACATTCATCTTACATACATTAGCATACATGACATTTGATAAATTTAGATTTAAAGTCTGAAACGATCAATCAATACTAACACCAATAAATGTTTGAGTTAACAATGGGCAGAAGTGCATATAAAGGTTGTGCAGTTGGTATTCTAGGTACATGACGGCACACTCATCTTCCAAAATCATGACATCACATTGCTTCTCCTGCTTCCCTGGAAACATTCTCTTCAAAGTTTGAGATGACGTGCTACTAGTGGGGATGACACAACCTCAAGGTGCATATAGTGACAGACTTACCACACAACCTGACTACAATAAATACGTAGTTTGCCTGATATACAAAATAACAACAAGGAGAACTGACGGTGTGCATTTGAAGAGCTCGGACTTTGAGTCATATGGTTAGGATGGGATTAGACTATGGTCTAATAAGACCAAAATCTTGTAAAAGTCTTGAATTTTCTCAAATTTCTTATTTACTTGTACATTTGAATTTTATACTGAGTTTTTTATTTAAATATTTATTGTATGTAAAAAATACATTAAAAATCTACTCTTTTATGATTGAATATATTGAAAAGCACAAATTTTAACTTTCAAATATAACATTTTCATCATTATTCAAATATGATAAGAAACATCAATCAAGAAGATTTTCTTGAAATATAGAAAGGATTTTAAATCTTGAATATATTTCTTTAACACAAAGATACATATCTAAGGATCAATGTATGTTATGTATGAAGTTTTTTAAATGCCAAAAGAGATTAAAAGTGTGTGTATATACATATATATATTTCATATATGAAATCTGACATTGAATTCAATGTGATTAACATCGGTTAAGTAGTTTCTCATGAGTAGATTTTAACTCATTGATTTCTAGAATTTGTAGCAAAATAAATTTAGTCAAATGTAATCGTCACATTTAAATTGGCTGCGTTAATCTAAGCTAGTTTCATATCTAAAAAATGTATCTAAAAGTATGATAAAAAGTTTTCAAGTCATACATGGATGAAACCAACCAGGTACCATCAGTGTAACCCTAAACAAGCCTCATGTTTATGTGGCGCTATCAAAGCCAGTGCTTGAAGTCACTGTCCCGAGTCACATGTGCTCGAAACTATACGGCCTGAAATGTCCATGGTTTGCAAGCTGGATGGTTGGCTTTGGATGTGAATATCTTCAATGTTTGTTATGAAAGAAAGAATACAGTTTATATATCAGATCGTGAGTTAGATCTCAAAGGAGAACCAAAACAAGTAGTCAAGGCAGGGTGAAGCTATGGGGAGTCATGGGAGATGGATGGATCATCAATAGATGCGAGGGAACAAGTTCCCTTTTTACTGTATTTCATTGCTTTCTCGGTTGGTCAGTTGCAAAGGCTTGAGAGCATGATATATGATGACTGACAGAGCAACATTAAGTGATGGAGTGATTGGTTGATTATTGAGCAATAGCATGTACACCACCCACCAATCGATCTGATTCTGATCTTTCTTTGGAGTCATCCTCCTTCATCGAACTCAACTATACTCAACCAGATGTTTCATCTTGTTGATATCTTGTGTTAGTGATTGTTATCCAATAGACAGGAGAGATGTGCTGGACTAAACTAGAATTCGTTAACTGAAATGCGACTCACTTGTTAGGCGTGAAACCAAGTTGCATCTTGCATTGGACGCCCACTTGAGGCAGACAAGCAGTCCCTGGTTGCTTGGTTTAGGACTCAAGACTTGGAAGTTCAGGTGGCTTTACCAGATGGCGAATTTAGAAAGCTTAGAGAAGCATTCTGTTTGAAAAAGTGTAGTATTTATCACCTAGGATCTACAGTATCGGAGGGATAATCTTGTAAATGGTGGTTTGGTGTAGTTACAAAAGTATTTATGATGTAAAGATTCGCTTTCGTCTCGCATTCACTTCTACTCTGGACTTGTACTGGAACGATAAGTCTATACCTCGATCACCCGACGTCATTCCTCAACCGAGTGCAATCCATCCACCCTCCATGGCCACAATATCGGTCGAGCTCACAGATCTAAAATGATTCGAATGTTTTCAGATTTGCATCTGATCTGTTTTCAGATGCAAAGCTGATGTGAAAATATTTCTAGAGCAAATTTGGGAAAAAACTTGAATTACGAATTTTTCTTATACATTAGCAGTAGTTACATGTTATGAGACGGTAGTATCTAAATCAGTTACTTTTGCTAGTTAGTTTTAGTAATTAATATGCAAAAAAAAATTATTTCAATGTTATATTACAGGAAAAAACTGAACTATGAAATCAATTCAAACATATAAAAGTTCAATGTGGTGAGATGATGAAACGTCATGTAATACTTCATCTAAGATATCTTGATCAAATGATTAATATAAGTTATATCTACTTTGATTATATTTATTCATATATATATATATATATGAATAATGATATGCTATCACTTTCAATATTTATCAACATATGTAATACATAAATATTATTTAGGTCAGGTCAAGTTCAAAACGTAAATATAAGCACTAAGTGGCATGCTATTCTCTCACGCACCGCAACAAATAATACTCCATGTAAACTAGTAGATGAAAATTGTCCAAAACAAATAATTAAGGAGGAAGACACTCCACGTAGAGCAGTATTGCCGGTTGTCATACATTCTCAAGTTGGGTATTGACTTCTACGGTACCCGTACAGATCCTTCGTACTATCAATATGCAGATCTGAAGCAGCTGACAAGACTGACAAGAACTCTCTTCACGCGCATGCAACCGGAACCCATTACTGTATTGTTGACCTGGACGAGATCTGAGTCACCAACACACGCACACATTAAAGGCGCCAGGTGGGATCACGGATACAAGGCACGTGTCGTGCCAAATTGACATCTATCGACTCACTGATTGCTGCTCGGAGTGACGAGGAAGTGGCGGAGAGTACGCAGCGACGAGGTTGAGAAAGTCAATCAGTTCTTCGCTCCCCACCTTCCGAGAGTCTCGAGAAGTCGAACTGGACAGTCCATCAGTAGACAGTCCACTTGAGCAACTTAAGCTCGATTCAGCAGCTGTTAAGCAGACTGGTCATCCGGCGATCGGACGTCCCCGTGGAAGTCGAGAAAACGCGAAAGAACTAGCACTAAGACATCACATCAGGTTATCTCGAAATTCGGTATCACTGATTGGCTTTTGCTGGAGGAAAGGAGGAGGTCGGAGATCGGGCAGGCCAGGGCAAGCGAAGCAGATCGGAGGCGAAACGATCGCAAGCGAAGGGAAGGGAAGGGAAGGGAAGAGAAGTAAGGAGCGATGGATGTGGCGCTGGCGATAGAGCACCAGACGGGGTTTGCATTGGACCTGTACAAGGAAGTGGCGGGGAAGAATGCAGAGGCTAGTGGGAATTCGTTGATGTCACCGATCAGCATCGCCACGGCGCTGGCCATGGCTGGCGCCGGAGCCAAAGGGGCGACGCTCCAAGAGATCCAAGCGTGCTTGAAGCTCCCCGAGGGCGAGGTGATGCATCAGTTCACCTCCCAGATCCAGGGCGCCATTCTCAAGGACGGGAGCGACAAGGGCGGCCCGATGCTGTCCTTCACCAACGGCCTCTGGGTCGACCACAGCTTGACTTTGAAATCCTCGTTCAAGGACCTCGTCAAGGGCAGCTACGGAACGGAAGCCAGAACAGCAAATTTCGCCGACAAGGTATGCAGTCTTCTTCTCGACAGGCAGGAGCCTCTGAGTTCCAGTGATGCCATGAATATCAACCCTGCCTAGTTCTTACCTTCATACATTCTTCCCACACATGTATATAAAGTATGTATGAATGACTGGCCATGGCCGTGAGCCATTGCAAGTGCAGGTGATCGATGCATCGGTTGTAGGCTGTGATTATTATATGTCAGTGGCCAAAATGCTCGAGAGAGAGAGAGAGAGAGAGAGAGAGAGAGAGAGAGAGAGAGAGAGAGAGAGAGAGAGAGAGAGAGAGAGAGAGAGAGAGAGAGAGAGAGAGAGAGAGAGAGAGAGAGAGAGGTGTCATTGTGTTGCTGATGAAAGTGATGAAAGGACGAGAGCTAATTCGGATACCATGGACACCAGGCAGAAGAAGAGCGGAAGGGTATCAACCAGTGGGTGTTGGACCAGACGAAGGGGAAAATTGAGGATTTGTTGCCTGAGGGATCAGTGAACGAGAAAACGGCGATGGTCTTGGCAAATTCGCTCTACTTCAAGGGAACGTGGAAGAAGCAATTCGATCCGGCGGACACGAAAAACGACGATTTTCATTTGCTGGACGGGAAGACGGTGAGCGTGCCTTTCATGACCAGCAGCTCTAAGCAATTTGTCAGAAGGTACGACACCTACACGGTTCTGAAGGTCCCCTACCTCCAAGGCGAGGACCAGAGGTCGTTTTCCTTGTTCTTCGTGCTTCCCGATGCGAAAGATGGTCTGCCACAACTGGAGAAAGATCTGGACGCCAAGACACTGTCAACGCACCTGAGGTGGACGAGTCGGGAGATTAAGATGGGAGAGCTTCGGATTCCCAAGTTCAAAATTTCTGCAGCCATCCCTATCCCGGAAGCACTTCAAGCGCTAGGATTAAAGGCGCCTTTTTCCACTGCAGCTGATTTCTCCGACATGGTGGAGGGCCCCAACGCCAATTTGCTATTTCTATCGGATGTGTTCCACAAATGTTTCATCGAGGTGAACGAGGAGGGTACGGAGGCCGCTGCTGCCTCCGCTGCGACGATGATGCTAAAATCTATAACAATTATGGAACCCCCCATTGACTTTGTGGCCGATCATCCTTTCTTATTCATTCTGAAGGAGGAGGTGACAGGAGTGATTCTGTTTATCGGCCGGATCACAGACCCCTCGCGATCGGAGTAGTCTACTATGTGAAGAGTGTTGTGCAAGAATCCTCTTGACACTGTAAAGTTTGTTCTCTGAAAGATGGGAAGTGAGTGCACGAAAACCGGAACTCAACAGGGACATGTGGCAGCCTTGGGACTCTCGGACAAAGCATTCGCGCTTTCCATGGAGATTTTCAGTCCTGTCCGATGTCGTGAAAATTTGCCGTTTGCAGAAAAGAAGAAGCATACTTCTCAGCGGCTTGTTGTAAGCAGTTTTCCCTATCGCAGGTGCTTGCCGCCTGTGGCGAACTCTAGCCCGGCATTGGCTTTTCCTCAGATGTAGATGTAGACTGTCGAAAAGGCACCACCACCGACATTGTTGCATTTCATACAATACATAACTAGACTTAATTGCGGAACAGAGGTGTGGGCTTTTGTAAACTAGCAATGTGATGGCTGAAGATAAGTTCGCCAGCCTGTTTCACCTCGTTACGTTCTGTAACTTATTGGAGCGGCATGAGATTTTCATAAAGTAGTAGTTTCCTTGGTACGCTTGACCCTCGGATGGCATTGTGACCGCTGCCAATTTTTCTCGAGTAGTCATCTGTGTTAAGTAGCAGACAGTCACTCTCCGAAATCTGCCCTCGTCTTGCCCTCACGGCAGAGAGTGATAAGGTACTTCTGCACGAATCCTTTTGTTGAAAGAGGATCACACTTGTCTGTTTGCTCCGTCATCACGGCTCTACCTGCTGCAACAGCGGCATTTCGTCTCTTGGAAGAAAATCAAGAGAAATTTCACGCAACAAGAAGAGCTGCTTACCACGCAATTTTTTTTTAACGTATCGACAGAGATGCATACGGCAGTTTATTTGGAGTCTGCATAACGATTCGAACTTATATGTCATTTTTCATTCCACGAAAAAGCGTTTTCGTATTATTGTCGTATCATGTCAGCAGGTGGACCCGGTTTCAAACTACCCTGGCATGTCCCACAACAGTTCCAACTCCCAGATCCTGCACACCTTGTTACGGGAACTATAGAATATAAACAAGGACGAGTCCGGGTACCGAAAGATAACCACGCAGTGTTGCCTACTACTATACAAAACAGGTAAGACCAAAACCGCCGTGAACATTGGTTTAACTCAAAGCTAACCACAGAGAGAGGACGGGTAATGCACTTACCGGTACCGGAAATCGCTATAACGCTTCGTGCGCAACTGCATCGCGCACTCGTGTTTTCGATGGCTACAAAGGTAGGATCATGTTCTCCTGAAAACATGAAAGATGCCCAGAAAAGGCCATCGTGGCAAGAGCCCATCAATTCTTACAGAATGGGGCCGACGGTGCGAAACGAGCGCCATCTTCAGCTGACGTTGGCCAATTCACAAGACGGCATGTTACTTTCGCAGCGAGAGCGAAATGTGATCCGACAATGCGCGCGAAGGCGAGCACGAGTGCAGGAACCGACGAGGGGAGAGTGAAGTACCAAAATTTTATAATACAGCTTCCAGGTGCGATCTTCGGCGGTTTCTAAAAGTTCGACTGAGAAGGGCAGGCCCCGATCCGGTTGTGGATCGGCAAGATGATGTCAACGGAGGAAGCATTGAATTGTCTGAAACAGTCGAGCACGGTGACAGGAGACTCCGTGTTCACTCATCTGTCCGAGCTACTGCGCCACATTTTGGCATCCAGGCCGAACAACGCCGTCGACGTACTCGAGACGAGCTTCCTCCTCAAAGCGACTCGGTACATTTCGAAGGAGAGCTCGGGCTTTCTTCGCGAGGGGAGGGATCCTAAAGATGTGCAGGCAGTGGCCTCGTTTCTGGACCTGTTCAGCACGAAAGAAGTGGTCGAAGCGCCGGACGACCCGAAGACCAAAGACAAGAAGCCGAAGCCGGATGCCGAGGGCTCCGAGGACACCGAGACGGTCGACACCGAGACCGAGACCGAGGAAACCGAGGCCGAGCCCACGAACGAATTCGAGGCCGAAAACCTGCTCGCGGACAGCGTGTTCATGGACGCCGTGGGCATCGGGCTGGGCCGCATCGAGACGCACATGATCATGCTCGCGCTCAAGAAGCTCGGCGACGATCCTGCGCTCGGCATCACGACATTGCGCTTCTTCGGGAAGATCTTCGGCACGCGGCGCAATTACTTCGTGTTCGAGAGCAAGGTCGGGGGCGAGGGCGAGGGTGGGCAGGAGGGAGACGAGGCCGAGGGCACGGAGGAGGGCGGGGAGTCGGAGGAGGGCGGGGCGGGCGCGGGCGCCAAGGCCGTTAAGGAGGAGCCGCTAACGTTCCCGCCCAACGTGAAGGACGACGTGCCGGTGGAGGAGGGCGCGGGGCCCAACGCCAACGTCTACTGGGTGTGCAACCGGCTGGACGAGAAGTGCGTGCGGCTGCCGGCGGTCACGCCGCTGCAGATCTCGACGGCGCGCAAGATCAAGAAGTTCCTCACCGGCGATCTGGAGGCCGAGGTTACGGCGGTGCCGCCGTTTCCCGGCGTGGAGAAGAACTTCCTGCGGGCGCAGATCGCGCGGATCAGCGCCGGCACGCAGCTGGCGCCGGAGGGGTTCTTCTCGGCTTCCGGCGGGGGAGAGGACGATCAGTCCGGCGCGGAGCTGACGGCGAACGAGGAGTGGGCTCGGCCGGCGGACGCGGAGCTCGGGGCGCTGACCGCCTGGGTGCACCGGCAGCTGTACATCCGGCGGACGGGGAGGTGCGCGGACTACGAGAAGCCCGAGCCGGAGGAAGGCCAGGAGGAGTCGGAGAGCGCCGGCGAGACGGAGACGGAGACGGAGGCGACGGACGACGGCGAGGGGACGGAGGGTGGGGACGACGGCGCGGCGACGGAGGACGGCGAGAAATCGTCGCCCGAAGAGCCCGAGGAGATTCCGGAACCGCTGCGGACGGTGGATGCCGACGCCGACGTGGCGGACGGCGTAAAGCCCTGGTCCGTCAGCTTCAGCTCGAGCATCGCCGGGTTCAAGAACCAGGTCGTGTGCCTGCGGTCGCTGGTCTGGCCCGGCGCCTTCGCGCTGGCCACGCCGTCCAAGTTCAACAACATCTATGTCGGCTTCGCCGTCAAGAACTCGGACTACGTGCCGCCCGTGCCGCCGGCCATGCAGAAGGAGAGCCGGGGCGAGTTCGTCGAGAGCTCCGAGCTTCCGCCGGAGCCCGAGAAAGAGGCGCCCGAGGGCACCGACGGCGAGGGCACGGAGGGCGAAACCACCGAAGGCGAGGAAACCGAAGAAGAGTGATCGACGACTTCTCGAATGACAATGTGACGCGCTCGAAAGAAATTTGTCTACTCGCATTTTTTGCATTTTCACGCTCGAGGACCGTAATCTACTCTAGTTCTGCCTCTCGTGGATCTCGCCCAAGAAAGCGAAGAAGAATGATGGAGGATTTCTCAAATGACAATGTGATGTTGTCGAAAGAATCGCATCCACTAGCAATTTTGAGCTCGAGGACCGTAATCTACTCTAGTTCCGCCTCTCGTGGATCTCGCCCGAGCAGAAGAATAAGGAGAAAAAACCGAAGAAGAATGATGGAGGATTTCTCGAATAACAATGAGATCTTATCGAAAGAAACTCATCCACTCGCAATCTTGAGCTTCAGGGCCTTAATTTACTCTAGTTCCGCTCCCCGTGGATTTTGGCCGAGCAGGAGGAGAAGAAATTGAAGAATAATGGTCGACGGGTACTCGAATGACAATGTGATGTTCTCTAAAGAATCCCATCCACTAGCAATTTTGAGCTTGAGGACCAAAATCTACTCTAGTTCCGCCTCTCGTAGATCTCGTGGATCTGACCCGAGCAGAAGGAGAGTAAACCGAAGAACAATGATGGAGGATTTCTCGAATGACGATGTGATGTTCTCGAATGAATCTCACCCACTAGCAATTTTGAGCTTGAGGACCGGAATCTACTCTAGTTCCGCCTCTCGTGGATCTTACCCGAGCAGAAGTAGTGGAAACCAAAGAAGCATGAACGAAGATTTCTCGAATGACAATGTGATATTCTCGAAAGAAACTCATCTACTCGCAACTTTGCGCTTGAGCACCGTGATGTACTCTAGTTCAGCCCCTTGTAAATCTCGCCCAAGCGGAAGGAGAAGAAACCGAAGAAGATGGATCAACGATTCCTCGAATGACAATGAGATGCTCACGAAAGAACTTATCTACTCGCATTTTTCGCACTTCAGCGCTTGAGAACCGTACTGTACTCTAGTTCCGCCTCCCGTCGATCTCACCCTAGCAGAAGGAGAAGAAACCGAAGAAGAATGATCGACAATTTCACGAATGAGAACGTGGTGCTCTCGAAAAACAAATGAGAACGTGGTGCTCTCGTACTTACTCGCATTTTCGTGCTGGAGAACCGAATTATAATCTAGTTCCGCCCCTCATAGATCTCACTCACCCGAGCAGAAGCGTCGTCCGTCTGCAGAAAATGAAACACACTCCGAGTTCGACAGATTTAGGAAGTACGCGTCAATGCTAATTATGATTATGGCTAACTACCAGACTCTCGACAAGGATTACTAATTGTATATTAGTCCAGAACTGCGTACACCAATAGCAGAAGTTCTCCGTGCATTCTGTTCGAAGCACAAATATTGCTGAACCTTGCACTGGTGGCCGAATGAGTCCAATGCGTGAGTCCTCTTTTCTCGTGTCAACTGGGCTCCAGTGCCGCTCTGCAATGCGAGTGGGGTCTGCGTTGGGCGACTGAATTATTACACCCACGGCGAACAGGTAAGACGTATTTTCAATCATCTTGCCTCGAATCCTACTCTGTCACCGGCGAATGTTTGGGCATCGATGCGGCGAAACGCGCGCAGGGTATCCCGACTTCTCCCTCAATTCGGCCTCACGCATCGTCGTGTCCCGTCTGCTCATCATCACTTTCTCAAGCAGATGGTTTCATGAGTTTCATGAAACTCAACCTCTCGAATCGAAGACTTCCCGCACAGACTTTCTAGCGCAAGCGCTGACTTGCGCGGTCACGTATCATGCTCTTTCGAGTCTCGATGCTAGAACTACACTTCTGTCAAGACGTGGAGCCGTGTAGGGCTGGGATCGGAGCTGGAGCTGCAAATCAACTGAACCCTCGCTGCGTTTCTTGCTCGTCTATACGAGAACCGGGCACGCAGGGCTCCAAAAAGCGAACGAAATGTCGAATGTGGCGACGGCCCACGGTAGTGAATGTGTTCGGGGCACATCTTCCAAGCGTTCAGAGTTAGTTGTCTCTCGTAATCATTGCAGACTGTGTGGGCAGAGCAAGCCCAACTGAAGGAGGACCTACTTCTCGTATCTCCGTGGTTGGGCGGGGTTCTGCAGGTGAGCAGGAAGTTCGAGCAAACCACGAGGGCTGCGAAATTCATACACATGACAATGGCTGACAAGAGGAAGAGAAGGGGCTCGTGTGCGATGGAAACAGGGACGTGACGCACGCGATCGTGGGTTGAGATTCGGGGCTCCTTCCATAGACCTTCCTGGAAACCCCCCAGGGATGCATAGGGTGTTCGTTCCAGTCCAGCCCATTACTCCGATGCCGCGACAGCCAAGTCAATTGACCTCCATACTTGATTGGACACGAGCAAATCCTGATGCCCACAAGTAACCTCCCATTGCAGATACCAAATCCAAATACAAATCCAAATCCATATTGCTTCTGACAGTTTGCCTGCCTGAGAGAGAGAGTCGGATATCGGGCAAGTTGTAAAATACAATTGTTGCTGTACGCCCAGGAGGCTAAGTCATAAAAAGTCAAAATGGATGAACTGACTACCTGGGCAAATGTGATGAGAACTGCCTGCCGCTGGCAGGCATATATTACTCCAATAGCTGTTGAGATGGAGGGCAGAACTGCTCCATTGACTCCACTTGCCTTGCAGATTCTGAACTGACAGTACCCGGCAATCGGCAATACAAGCGTCCTTGTACTGATCGGGTATCAAAGCTACAGATCGAGAGACAATTTCGTTGCACCTTCCTTGAATTTACAATATGCAACCAGTAGGCGAATGATTGACAGAATATCTGACACTGGAACTCAGGACAACCTCAACAGGAAGCGTGGCATGCCACGATTGACCGGAGAGTATCTCAAAACAGCCTACAAATCAATCCACAAGCACTGTGTTTACGTAGCAGCTAAGACTTCGCGCGAAGCACCTGTCAGAAGAAACAATACACTCTTCCCCACGTCAGAAGATAAGACTCCGCACTCGTCTCCACGAGACCAGGTTGTGAGGAGATCCTCATGGTCACACTTTGTCATCATGAAACCACCAGCGTGTCTCCTTGGGAGATCTACCATTGCGGCAATTCCTCACGTACCGATCATTGTCCGGTGGTCTTGCCTGCGACACATTACACGTTGTTAGTCAGAGTCTCACATTCCCAGGAAAAAAGTACACTGGAAACATGGTGAAACTTCACATCGGCCCATGTTTTCCTCGCCGTCTGCGAAAGGCAGTACTATAGTCCTGTTAATCATGTCACGCGAGCTCTAAAAAGACAACTGGAGCGTACTACTCGCAAAACGATTGTGATAAGATGTTGTAACTCGACAGGAAACTTCGAAACTTCTCCTTACTTGGAATACATGGGATGCTGTGCACACAAGCTAGGTCCTGGAAAGAATTACACACTTTCCCAGACCTTCAAACTGACACCGCTGAATACAGGGACTGGTTCGTCTTCCACACATTCTTAGCTCGAAGTCACAACATACACGAGATCCCTGACCGGCGATGGGTTGGAATTCAGGTAATAGGTATTTTAGGGCGATCATTTGTCTCATGATCTTAGCGTGTAAGGAAACCGAATCTGTCGAGTGACCTCCACAGATTCTAGCAATATGTAATCTAGTAGCTATCAGAGTCCTGCATTGGGCTTCAAAACTTTACCCATACCCAACCCATACCCATGAGTGGGTCAACTGTACCCACCAATTACCCACCCCTGGCAACTTTTCCATACCCACTCCCCATCCATGGCACCTTGTCCATACCCAACTCATACCCATGAGTCCACCATTGGTTACACTTAATCCGAGATCTCAGTCTAAGTCATACCCATCCATTACCCACTCATTCCTTATACCCACCCATTACCCACCCATTTACCCATGGGTATGGGTGGGTATTGGGTACCCATGGGTATGGGTACCCATTGCAGGACTCTGGTGGCTATGCACTATCATGCTACTGACTAAACTTCTGTTGACTCATCATTACGTACAGAGACGTCAATTTGGCAACAAGACTGTCTTGATTGGGTTGGGGCAAGCATCCCCGCATCCATGATTCTCATGAGATCTTTCTTGGAGGTGTGAGAGAAGTGAAATCCAGACGTTCATGTTCTACGGGTATAACCAATTGGCAAACAAACCAAGTCATGATCAATCAGCTGCTCAGCCTTACCTTCTGTGTGGCACTGGATAGCATGGAGAGGATACTAATGCAGATGGAGCTCACTGTCATTGCCGGTGACCAAGAGTCGTATAGGATGTCTGACACACGTAGACCACATACGATGTTATTGCCCGTCACCAGAAAGTCGGATCACATACTTCGCACATGAGCAACTAACAGTGCAAAACAGAACCGAGTTCTAATCACTGCAAGGCAGTGAGCCATGGGAAAATAAGGAGCACACTATGACACCTACAGCATTACCGACGATAACGTCGCTTCTTAGGGGCCGTCAACTTGGACTTCTCTACAAGAATTCAGTGAGATAATGCAAGCTAGTCCGTGTGATACACTATGCAAAAGTCGGGCCCTGAACCGCCCTTCGGAATATCCTGAAGTTAAGGTTTGACAAAAACCTTCAACTTCTTAGAACCCTAGCTCGGTTCAAACTCAGAATTGAGTCGACTTTGACTACCACGCAGACTTCTTGCAATCCATATTAGCGTCAACGATCCTACCTTACGATAAAAACATATAAGGGGATGGAACGACGAGATTGTACCAAGACATATGTGACCGTTGCTGTAAATGTGTGGGTGCAATGGCGGCGACTGGATGAAGATAACCTGCAGGTCAAACACAAAACCACAAAATATCATACCAACGTTGACGTTAAACTTAAAAATGCGGAATAATGGCGACTTGTAAACCCATAGACACGACCTAGTGACTTGTGACGGTTTTGACATCTACCATGTAGAGGAAGAGATGTATAAAAAACACGTCGGTTTTATCCTGGAGAGGTTACTTGTAACAAGAAGGCCAAAACAAGTCAATCCTACGAGAGAAGGGAATTTGTAGATATGAAGTCCGAGGAGCCATCCCAGAAAGGTTAATTACAAGTTTTCCAGGAAGAGCGGCAGACCTGAGGGGCTTCCATAGGATAATTTTCGGGGAAGTCGACTTGCAACTGATAGAGCTCACCAGAGTAGAGCGTGCCAGGCGCTCCATGAACCTCTATTATCCACCTGCAACATCCACAATGTTTAACTGAACAGAGTCAAATTTCGCCGATGGAGTCACAGGTCAGAGGGCTATGAGAACCAGCATCAAATGGGCGGACGACTAGCAAAGATAGACTTCAGAACATGTGAAGAGTATTAGGGTACCGTTGTAGGTTGTCTGTAACTTTGTGCTTGAAGCCGGCAGGGGGGTTGATTTGCCACTCAGACAACTCCTTTTGCAAGCGATTGGCAGCAATCCTACTCAGAGTCTGCACATCACAAGAAACTCAAGAATTGAGCACAAAGTGGACAAATATGACTCCACGAAGCGACTTCATGCACACGAACGCGGACACGGAACCGAATCTGCCCAAACTCTCATATGACGTAGAACGTCCTCAATTCGACAGAATTCCGAGATAATAACTGATCAGAACATTCGAACCCTACACAGCGCTTGTCAAACCCCACCGCCAGCTTTCTTGGTACAGATGGGCATGCCCCGTGCAACAGTTGTACGTCATTATCTGCTTTCCCTCTATTAAACACCCTTTCCATCCATGCGCAACAAGCAATTTGCACTGCATAACCTTCTGTGGTGGTGTAGATGTGCTCATTGTTTATTTCACCAACTCCAATACTCCTCTTTCTTCCAGCCTTCCTGCAACCTTCCTTCGACCCTCTCCAGCCCAGCACCCGACTAACTTCGATCTCCTTCCACTCGTCGAGATTCTTGACGCACCACCGCGATAAGTCCACCAATACCGAGCCCCGTCCCGGCGTGCTCGACCCGCCAACTTCCACCCGCGCACGAATTGAACTCCAATCGGAGCACGATAGACTCCTCGAACGACGATCCGTCGAATTCCGGCCCTTTTCTACGATGAGGTGCCCACGGATCTAGAGCTCATCTCCCTCCCTCCCTCCCTCCCTCGACAGACAACCAAACCATCATCAGGTCGCTCTCCTCTCCTCGCTTCGCCTCCTCAGTCAAGTCTCTCAGCCTCTCTCTCTACCTCCCCGCCTGAACCCCACTCAGCCACGACGACGACGACGACGACAGCTCCCCACGAGACTCGGAGCAGCAGAAGCAGAATCAGAATCGCTCATCAGCGTCAGCACACTGCGCTTCGCTGTTGTCGTAGACTGAAAACGAAAGGGCAGAATTCAGGCCGCACACAAAGTACGACGATGATACATAACGAATCCGAATGTCCGTCTGCTCTCTCTAACCTTTCTCCCCCGCCACCACCACCACCAGCACCAACAACATTCCTCCTCCTCCCTCTCCCTCTGAGCTGCAGCCTCGAGGCTCCACAACCCCCCTCTTCGAGAAAATACGCCCCGTATTCCGGTGGCAGCCCATGGGCTATGACCAGTCTTATGACCAGCAGCAGTGGCGGTTCCATTTACCATTTAAATATAATACATTTAGCGGATTGCTAAAGGTAATTGTCATTGAAATAAGATATCAGAATTTAATATTTTTTCTCTTCACTATCGGTTCCTACTCTCTTTCTCATTTCCCCTTGTGTACATGGGAAAGAGTGAGTGACTGTCAGTTAATCCTTCACATGCATATAATACAAACACCCGAATCTGTTGCTGCTGTTGTGGAGCTTGAACACGCATTGGACCGGCTGAACCAAAAGGTCATATTCCAAGTTTGTTATCTTTTATCCCATGAGAGATTGAATACTTTAAAATCACATCCAATACGCATTTGAATTTTTTTTCGAGAACGGGTTGGTTATTATGACAACTGTCGCGACAATTTAACAATCCGTAAGTGATATTCTGAATTTGAATATATGAAGATAATTGTGAATGAAGTTTCTCATCAAAACGAAGTCTGAAATAACTCTTACTCTGACATGCACAAATTAAACTCAATTTTAGTGATAAGAAGATCTAAGGGTGCTCATTTTAAAAAAATTTCTCGAAAGGTTAAATATTATATTCTATTTGATTTGCTACTCAATTTAGTTAGTGCCTGGTCAATTTAAAATATCGTCCCTCTCGTCTTTCTCTGAACCATTCTGCCCTCCGGTCTTCCGGTGTGGCCCACCGTGCGCTTGCGGGATTTTCCACACTCGCACGCAACTGCTGGCGGTTTATGATACGGTCCAGAGGGCGAGGCTGGAGCGTGAACAGAAGAGTGACGATCGGTGGACAACGGATGGCCTTGAGATTGGTTACCGGCTAATCTGTCTCGTCATGGGTCTGACGTTTCTTCTCCTTTCCCGGTGATTTTCCGGGTCCACGCCAATCCTGATGTCATTATAACTATGCTAATTAGTATTTATGATTCATGAATACTTGTGGGGTTTTTGAGATGGGTTATTGATCTGAGAGTTGTTACTGAGGGATTTAGTTGCTTCCAGTAGCCCAACTCCTCGTTGCATTGTGTGCGGATCTCGTTGAAGTAGGATGACGGATGGTTTTAAAACTAAAGCTACATTGTTGGCAATTATTTCGCAAGATAGACGTAGAAAAACAATTTGAAATATTGCAACGTGATACATGAATACATATATTCGAAGTATTATTTGGTATGGATAGATTTGACTTGAAATATCTTTCTAGTCGTATTAAATTCTGTAATTAACATCAATGCTCCAAAACAAGTGGTTGATTATGAAGATGTTAATATTGATGAGAATCATATCAGTCGTGACAAAAGATTCGAACATTAGGATACAATCATACGATACATATGTGTAGAAACTAATTTTAATTTAAAATAGATAGTTCTTAAAGATTACACTGTACAGTTTTAGAGAAGTTGAAATCTTGATAAAAGATGTAATGTATATCATTTTATACATAAAGAAAATAAGATTTTATTACATGATTGAATTCTGAATTTCAAAAGATATATTTTGTTCTATAGATACTATATTGATAATATTTGTTGATATGTTTTTTAATTTTTACATTATTTTAATGAACCATATATATATGAGTCAAAACACCTCATTAAACTCCTATACCTGTAAAATTATTTTTTCTAATTCATGCCATAAAATTTCATTTGATGCAACTTATTCACCCCAAATGTTCTTGTCTTTATAATTATTTTGTACACTTTTTAATAAGAATGTCTAATCCACCAAAATTTAAATTTAATTTCCATTTCAACTTTGTTTATATGATCATATGAGCCTAGATACTGTAAAAGAAAAAGTATGTCGCCTCCACATAAGATATGGTAAGATGACAAGTGTACGATAACTGACCGGTTCGATTTTTGAGCCTTGATCGCTCCGTGCAGAACCGAATTTTTGCGTGCACATTTTTGCGCTCGTTCAAAGCGTCGGAGCCTGCGGATGTCGGTTGGATCGAGTGTCTCGTGCTGTCACTGGTGCGTGTGTCTGGTATCGTTTGATTCAGTGCACGACGACAACAAGCTGTGAAAACTCTGAACAACAAGCAAATTCATGAGGAGATTGAGATGCTGACATATTCGATGCCTTGTGGTTTCACTCCGAAATCTGAAGAGTCGAGTCGAAACCGAAACCGAAACGAACTAGAGAAGTGAAATAAGACACAGAGCAAACCACAACGACATGCTGTAACGCTGGAGAGTGCGCACACGTAGCTTTTTACCAGTTTAACTTCGGTGACTTAGTCTAACTTGCACCCTGAATTATTTTATTTAATACCTGAATCTGTCGAAGATATCAAATCATGAAGATGGTTTGAATGATTGACAATGAAGATGGAAGATCAGTCAAGGTGGAACTAGACCACTGACAATACGCATGAAGCCAATTCCACTCCGACGCCCTATACAGTAAATTGTCAACTGGTTGAAAGGCCTCGAACCCATGTGATTTGGATAGAGCGATCAACGTCCCTGATGCCAGATAATCTCATTTCACTAATTACACTAATTCCTGAATGAAGCAGATGGTCCCGGAGGTGGGCCGTAGCCATAAGGACTCTGGGATCCGGAATTTTGTGGCAAACCTCTCTGCTGGTTGGGCTGAGATGAGGGAGGGCCAGCTTGTTGCTGCGGAAACGATGATGTTGAGGTTGTGCCCGGGGGTGCACTATAGCTCTGGTTTCTGTACACACTGCCTGATTGATGAGATGCATTGCTGTGAGCAGCCGAGGGTCCGTTTGGGCCCATGGATGGGTTGGGTCTGCCTCCTGCAGCACCAGGAACTCCAGGAGCCCCGGGAGAACTTGAAGTCCCTGCAGGAGTAGTGGGAGGTGGAGGAGGAGGAGGAAGATTAGGGGCCATTTGAAGCCCATTTGCTTGAATCACATTGGAACCTGCCAGTCCGGGAGGTCTCGGTGGTGGTGGCGGAGGAGGAGGCAGTCTGTATTGAGGAACACCTGCTGCAGCACAAAACCCCAAGGCGGATGATTCTGTTAGCAGTCCACAATGTTAATTTGGCAGCGAGCTTTTATACTCGACACACAATCTGCTCGGTGCGTTTTGACAAAGTCAAAAGCATTTTCTGTTTTGTTCAATATCTAAGTAAGATGATTCAGACTAAGAGCCTTACCTTGTCATGGACAAGGACATTAGCAGGCGTAAGTTTTCCAGCGCTTGGTCCAAATACAAGACATTTGTAAAGGGGAAAGGAACGTACATCGATGCTCCACAATCTATACAGCTGTTGCTTGTGCTGAAACGAAACTGAATCATGTAATCTCAAGACATGACATATCAAGTGCCTGTTGGTGGAGCGGTGAGAATACCTGGAACAGGTAGAGCGGATAGGCGAACAGATGGCAAATGAGTGGATGCAGCAGGAATCGAGCCTGGTACTGGGATTGGTAGTACAGGCAATGGAATCGGAGGCTTGAACTGGCCTAAGGCAGTGAGATGCTGGTGAAAAGCACCGCCCATCTGGACCTGTTGATATACAGCTGCGGTCTGTCCAAGATGCTCCTTGACCTTTTGGTCAATAAGACTTTGTGTCTGCTGCTCTTCAAACTGCTGATAGTAAGCTCGTACATTGGCCTGGAAAATGGCACCTGTTAAATTTCTGGTGTAAACGTCGCCATGCCAAGAGGTGATGATCTTTTCATTGAAAGCCTTCCTGAATCTATCGAAGCACGGATCCAGCATTTGCAATTCACGTGCAGTTCCTCACCTTGTGCTTGTATCCGGCATTATGCTGCTTTCTCACTGAAGGCTGAAGGCAGAAACAGAAGCCACTGTGAGGGAATCTGGTGAAGCTGTAAATTAATAGCTCTCAGTTTGATTCATCAAAACTCCTCAATATTTTGGGCAAACAAATTAGTCCGTGGCAAAGAAGTTTGGTATTGGCCCAACAACCGTAAGGACCTGAATCTTGTCACTCTTTCACCTTCCAAATCTACATACTTCCATGTCTGTTTCTAAAACAAGTCTACCTGAACCACACCAGAAATACGGAATTTATCGGTGATATCTTCGACATCTAGCACATTACTGTTGCAGAGGAAATGAACTTCGATATGCCAACACATACTATTATGCTCCAGAAGCGACCTGGGAACTCGAGGCAAGAGCAGATAACGCTTCACTTACAGAATCATGCGTTAAGTATGTATCACAGTAATCGCAGTAGTACCTGCATCATTTTGTGACAGCAGAGCTTCTGGATGAGATCCTACACCACTACCCAGACTGCCAACTGATGAAATATTCTGATAATACAGAGTGATCATAGAGAAGAAACGAATGAACACTGCACACTGTGAGCACTAGAATAGCCTCAGTGCACGACTAAATTCATAAAACTGTGGAATATATGGATTTTAGTGGAACTTGCACTGACCCTCAAGCCCTGGCATTTCGAGAGGAAGAAAAATGTAAGCTAAGGATATAAAAAGACGGATTCTTCGTTCACACTGCCTCCTGATGACACAAACGCTGAAAATCACTACGGACTTGTTTGATGAATCGATGTTCCGGAGTCACAACAGTTGAAGCTCATGTAGAGAGGATCAGAAAGACGGACCCTTGTCGTGGCCTTGTTTGCACATCCACAGGAAATCAAGTCTCTTCGACGTTTCTCAAGTGCGTAATGAAGACTGTCGGCGATCGAAGAGCAATCTATGCCCAAAACTTATTCTATCGAGTCTTGGGAAAAGTCTCAGGTGGAGCTCGTGCACTGCCTCAAAAGCTTTTCACTGCACTCGATCCTTGAGACAACGAAGAATATCTTCGGAGTCACCTAATTCAATATCGTCCTAGCGCTTGGAGCTCTCATCTAAGTTCTCAACCACAACAATTATCCACCTTCGACGTCTCGTTTTAGCGAGGATTATAGCTCGATATCGAGGTGATCCTCGATAGTTGCTCCTGGTTCCATATTCATCCTCTTCAAACTTCTCATTCACCACTAGCACTGAATTCTCGGATTTATTGTTCCATATGTCTACATCGTCCAAGACTTGAGGCAGAATGGAAGAGCTGCCAGCTCTGGAATGATCCAAACGGCTGAAGTGCTCTTCTGATTAAAATTGTTAAATTTACAGCTCCATACTTCTTCTCCTGTATTCATACTTCAAACTCCCAGTATGCTAACAGATCAAACCTTATTCAATTGACAGTGGACGGCAAACCCTACAGGAGCACGCGCCACAGGAAAGGAGCTCTGGTGGAGTACCCACCGAGGCATTCTGAAGACACAGAAGGAACAAGCGGAAGGAGTTTATATCGTTCGTCGAAGCTAAACACTCGCCACGATGTGCGCAGAGGAGAATCACGTATGGCCAATCATTGGACAGTCGTTCACAGCAGCATCACACTGAAGTTGCAGTTGCCATGACCGAGTCGCTTGGTCGATGCAATCGTCTTTCCTCAAATGCTTTCCTTCACAGTTCGTCCGAAGAGCTGCAGCATGTTCTCCAGCTCCTATTTCCGAGGCCAGGCGCGAAGATGTAATGAAAGCAAATTTCGAATCATGCTTGAGAGATGAACTCGATTTTAGAATATCTAATCGTCTGGTTCACTGTACTTCTTGTTGTTAGTTTCTCTCCCATTCTAGAATGTACCACCACAGTCTTGTTCAATAGTGCCCTTCCTCCGATCCATGGATTATTTCTTTGATAGGCTTTTACTTTTCAGTCCTTCTCGTCAAATTTTTAAACGGGTGGGCGGTCAGACCTGACGATTGGATACACTTCTACTCATGGCGGTCAAACTCATTGAAGTGTGCCCCTTTCCGACCGATGTCTAATCTGTGATCAGTACTGTACCCAGGATTTTGTCCGTCCACCACGTTTGCAGTAGTGGGATCTACGAAGCACAAGCTAGGCCTCGGTCCTTGCACATCATCAAGACTGAACTATGATCACCTACTAGAGTAGTGGTTTCTCTCCATGCACGTGTGGACAGAGAGAATCCTCATAGCTCGAAAACTCTGCGACTGCTTGCCTCGTGGAATCCTTGAAGACCACCTTCTGCTAACGTGACAAGACCTTTTCCGGACGAGAGTTTTCTTTCTTCACGTTCCTTCTAATGCTGCTCCTCGCAGACTGCTGCCAATTGGCCGTTCTTAAACCTGGAAATACAACCTGCCATCTGAAGACGTGTTTGCCTCTGTTTTCTTTAAAAACAGTTCGTTTAAGAACTGTTTTTAAATTCGACTGTCAGTTCGAAGCATGACTGGATATAACATTCAATCGATTCACTAATATAAAATTCAGGGCCGTGGAAGCCGATTGTACGACGTTATTGCAGTGGATGTTGTGTGTTATATGGTCGAGACGTGTGATTGAGATTGCATTGTGCGTGCTTCTTATCCTGGCTTTGACGTTTGACAGGCATGGCAGTCCGACTGGACTGTGTGACGGCAGCCAGAAGGAGAACTCGGATCCACAGATGGAGGAGTGTAGAATCCACTGCCAAGCTATGGTAAGTAATGAGAATGTTACTGCAACAAAACACTCGAAAGGACCAAAGCAATCCCCTGCAGCTGTTCTGCAAGTATGACTTGCGCAGTTGTATAGTTACAAGTGACTCAACGCTTAGAAGTATATGACTCCAATGGTCCAGTTGGTTCTTGACTTGTGCACCGTCTACATATATCTCGTATTGCATTTCGATACATTCCGATTTGTACATTCCTCTAGAATCGAAGTGGTCGATCTTGGAAACCTCACAGCTTGAAACGCTGTCCTACTGTTGCTTGCCGTCTAGAGTCAGCAAAACTTTATACAGATCAGGCCGTCGGTCTCTAAATACGCCCCAGCTTGCTCGCTTGTAGTGAATACTGTCGAGGTCAAACGTGGACATCAAAACTGTATCACTTTTGTTATCGGCTGCTTCCAAAATTTCTCCTGTAGGACCTGCTTACAAACATTATATCAGTCCGGTGACTATCAGAGCCAAGTAGACAGCCGCATGAACATGACACAGATATTTCACAACGACATGGGGTAAATAAGTGCAACATATACTGCTTAGTCTACAATAATTTGATGGAATGCATTAAAAACCAGGAGAATTCCACCTGCTATGAAGGAGTTCCCGTAGAAGGTGATCTTGCTAGGTCCATGTTCCGTTTCGATGATCTCCTCGCCCACTCGGTTAGATGCAATAACTGGCACCTGTTGAACAACCTTTCTTAGTCTTTTAAGTGATGTGAGATAAAAACAACCATAGCAACTACAGCTCCCAGTTAACTAGCTGAGCCAGCAAATCACTGCCAAAAGAGAGTCATCGTGCAGGAAAACTACTGCATACGTACCACATTGGCTCCAGCATGTCCTTGCATAACTCGTTTCCAATGATCTGATGAATCTAAATCACCATCTTGGGGCTCGGTGCCAATTGCTGTTGGGTAGAATAACAGCTCTGCTCCCATCAATGCAAGAGCTCTTGCCACCTCAGGAAACCACTGGTCCCAACAAATGGCTGTGTCTCGCACAAAATAGGGAACAAAAGTTGCGTAAGTTAGAATGTCTACGGATGGGTACAACTAATGTCCACTGATTCTACATTGAATAAAGTGAGATTTCTAATATGCAGAGATCCAGAACCTTCAACGAACAAGCTCCCGCTATCACTTTATAAGCTCACCTTCCACTGTGAGCTATCAAATGGATCTTTGAAGCGCAACCTCTGATACTCTGTAGGCATTGAACCTTCAGTTGAAGCTAAATGGTATTAATAAAACTTCTTAGGTTTATTTCTGTAATGGAAAGTTCAAAGATAAGCAATCCCTCGGGCCATTAGGTTGTAGTAGCCTCACCTACTCCGATCTTAGCAAACTTCGTTTGGAAGACCTGCAACATAAAACGCAAAAGGGGCTTCAAGTCAGCATTTCACAAACTCTCCATCTTCTTCTTCACTTGTTGGGTTTGTTTTGAGATGAAGCCCATTTGTCAAATGAAAATATACTCAGCAAAACTTAGTCCCCAATGTCTAAAAGGAGATTCAAGCAATTTATCACCTTGAAACCTGTGTCTCCAGGGTTGAAATAGAACTTCTCTTGATAACCTGCCACGAAACTCTAAAGTCAGCTACTTGACTAGTATCAATTGACATGTGAAACCTTAAGCTTGCACATGGCTGCATATGAACAGTCAGATGTCTTGAAAAACTGTCCCATTCATATACTCAATCTTCGCACGGATTTCTACGTGCACTCAGGCGCCCAAATGCTGAGGTTGCTGAGGAAACTTAAGAAGGTCCTCGAAAGATGCGAATTCTGAACATCTGGAGTCCTAGTCGACAAGCAAGAAATCATGAATCATTCAGAGTTGTATAAGTTCCGGAAGTTTAGGGTCGTCTATTTTAACTCGAGAACTTTAATTACCTGGCCCATCGGGTATGTGTGACTTGCGATAAAGTCCAAGGTCTTTCCCATCGGCATCAATTACCACGATCGAGTTATAATGAGCACAATTCGCTTCTTCGAAAAAACTTACAGGAATCACTACACCCAGCTCCTTCGCTAGGTTTTGCATTCTGAATGACAAGTGAAAAGTCTTGTCATGAATGAGCACAAAGATGCACCTCCAATGAACACAAACAATAAATCAAAATCTACGACATTGACGGCCGTGAAAAACGACCGTCCATCAGAAGCTAAGACTCACACCTCTGAATTGTGGGATGACCTTCTCGGGGTTGGGCTCTTTTAAAAAAATCTTCTCGCTGGGCTTGACAGAAGTAGTATCCCTCGAAAAGCTCCTGTAAGCAGATAAACGAACTAATCGTCAAATCCACTGCAACAGACGTGTATATTTTGTGCTCAGTTATGGCGCCGGTCAACAAGGTGTTCAGAAAAATGAAAGTGAACTTTTTATTGTACTGTGTGTATTTTTGAAGAAAAAGTGAACTATCGAATCAGTAGATTCTAGCATGAACTACATGCAATGCGCTGAATTCTCCTTGAAATGAACGACATCATGAAACTGATATTGATTACATAAAAGACAGGAAAAATCTTCCACCTGAATTAAGATGATGTTAGCTCCTTTAGAATGAGCTTCTCTGACCATCCTGCATGATTTCCAGTTTCTAGTCAGTCAAGATATTCTAAACCAGTATGAACATCTTGAATTGACCACTCACAATCTCTTCGCTCTCTGTTGCATCCAGTAGTCAGCTTTTCACCTCACAGATCAATTGACACCCAGACACTCACCACAGCGGCACATATCTTCAGATACATCATCGTTATAGCAAGATGCACAATTCATATTCTCCGCGAGGGTCAAGATGGACGATTGTGTAAAACCAGTATTACTGCCAGCTGAAGAGAAAATTTGCACTCCAATCGGGTACAAATGGGTTTAAGCTCGATCATCTTCAGTTTCTGAGAGTCGGACTTCTAAATATCACGTTAAGATCCAGACGACCCGCCCTGAAACTGTCAGCAGTACTCCTACAGTGCCATCGGAGCACTGAGTTGAGAACTTGTCATGCACTAATTTGATCCCATCTTATAAATAGAAATATGTCACGAGGTGGACCTTAAACCCAGGAAATCAGACGAGGGCCAACTTAATCTGACAGGCTTGTGAGAAACACCCAGTCTCAGTCAGAGATTATCAGATTTTGGCACCGCAGTGTGGTCTAAATCTTCGATCAAAGCATACGTATCAGCTGGGATTGATCGATAGACTCATTACATGCTCAATTTTCAGATACTAAATCTAAACCTACCTCTCGGCTTTGTCGACATTTGTCTTCACATCGTCTGTGCAGGAAAACTGCAGCGCTGCTACAGTCACCTCTCTCTTCTTTCCCTTTCCTGCCATGCCTCGTGATCGATCACGGCACTTGATCGGTGCTGCTGTGTAACAATTCTTCACATTGAACACGTTTATGTGGGAGCTGAAGGGAGTGTGAAGGACGACGAAGAAAGGGAGCAGACGGGACACCCTCGATGACGTCACCCTACACGGTGACATGGCCACGGTGAGACGCGTCCAGCTGGATAAAGCGTCAGCTTCTGGTCAGCATTTCTCGTGGCTGGTTGCGGACGTTGTGCACCACGTCAAACTCGGAAGGCGGAATTTGTGGAAGTGGAGCACGGTTGGACCGGGTTGGACGTTTAACTGCAGTTGTTGTTGGGCGAGAATTATTGTTCTGTGTAATGTACAGCCCAACGTTGGATGACATTATTGTTCATGGGCAAGGGCGGGGATAGTTTACAAATGGGTGCGTTAATAAATATTGCTTGAGACCTGGACCATAATTTGTTTTGTGATGTCAATATCATTAATTTAATGTTTCGCTGGCATTCAGCGCAAAAGTGATAGATATAGATGAATAAAGAGTGCAAATTAGATAATTAGACGAAAGGTTGCTGATGGTTATCATACAAAAATTTGTAATAAAATGTTGGTGTGGTGTGATGCGAGCTACTCGCCCCAAGTATTGCTAAAGATCAGTAGTTAATGATAGGAAAGCGTGAGAAATCTAAATCTTTAGGTGTCTAAATATTATATAAAAAAATATTTGTAATCGCATTACACTTGTCACATTTACTATTTGGTTTCATATCCATGCAATTTCTTGTTACTTATCTTGGTGCCCCGTTTGGGCAATATGAACGAGACATGAGTCCATATCGGCCTAGAAATTGCAACACTCATAAAACTTGAACAAAGACTCAAAAATAAAAAGTAGCTTTATATTTTATTTTATTGCGAACCAATAACCTTTTCATATTCCTGTAGAACTAAAGGTGTTAAAGCGGATTACAAAAATGATGTAAATGTCTTATGTAGCCGTGCAAACTACAGAGCTAGTCTCCACGATTATTGTAAAATAGTATGTTGTATATAAATTACATTTCATCAAATTTGCATACTCCAGTGGCATACACGCATCTTATATCATTCACGTAACGATTGTGTGTTGTGTTTAAATGTTCTCTGTTTAAAAGCAACAATAGACAAGATACTAAGCTTTATGCTGAAAAACATACTTATTGACATAATCCATGCACACGTCTTAGAATTTAGACACAATAAAGTTACATTTCATTTTTTTGTTAAGTGATAGTACTATTATCTGCTCGTAAAAAGTGGACAATATACCATCGAAATAAATGTCAAATCAGCAAATCTCGTTGCAAGCTATTTCCTTATCATAGAAATAGTGTGTGTTTGAGAAAACGGTTCACGGCGAAGATGAAACTCGCGAATGAGCGCAATACGTCATTTCTTCTTAAAGATTGTTCAACATGAAACAATGTGAAAACCCTTTTATATTGGCGTGACTTCGGACTAGTGGAAAGGTGAGCGGAACAGAGTAATAACATTGCTAATAACCAAACGCAAATATTCTTCCCAATAAATAATAATACATCGCAACTATTTTCTCTAGCATTTTCTTATATTTAACTATAGCCAATATGAGGAAATCATTAATCTACTTGGTCATCGCTAACCATCTACTAGCGCGTTACAAGTCTGCCAATAACTTAGGATACGACCTCGTACTGCAAGTGTGATCGTTGGGAAGACTCAATGAATTAGTACTAAGAATCCCCTGCTTACAAGACTTTGTGCACTACACCCGTTAACACACTTGATAAGACATGGATGTACTACAATTGTTATTAAGAAACATACGATGGCTTCATCCAAGTACTGATGATAGTAGCAAAATCTAAACTGTGACGTAGTATCAACTCTACCAAGTACTCAATAGTTAATTTCAGATTTATTAAAAGAGAAAACAACCAACCTCGTAATGTAACGGTTCCACCGTGATCTTTCCACATGTGAAATAGAGTAGAGTGGTTACCGAAGACATCAAGGGCTCGTGTGATTCCCAATTGGTGCTTCTGCGTTGCCAGCAGGAGGAAGAGAATTTGACAAGGTCTGCTGACAGTTGAATTTTGGTTTTGGAGGCATAGTTGAAACCTGAAGTATGGATGGCTGCCACATATGATGTCGTTTGCAACTGAAGTATCCACTTCCGATTTAACATAGAATGCTACGCTCACTGTTAAGAACAAGATCATCCTTACCCACCTTCCCTAAATGATATCCAAAGTGTCAAACAGAAAATCTCTAGATTGCTTGTTCCTCATTTCTCCACTCGCCTACAATCTAAGTTAGTCATACTCGTCCTGAGGACTACTAAACTTCATGTTTATTACAATGGATAAATTGGACGAGCAACAAAAACAAATTGTTATAAAATAAATGGCTGTGTCACATGCCAATGGTAAGGCCTGCTATGGATATTGTGATACTAAACTTTACTCAGAAGAGAGTCTGGGGCTACGTTTGCCCACGTTGCAATCAAATTGTGAGCAATTGCATAAGGACCCGGCACATACATGGGCGCCTCTGAAAATGAGTCCGTCGTTTTCTCTCCTGAACAGTACTGATAAACCTTCAGGCTTGAAGCTTCCTGAGCATTTCTGTAGTCTGTGTACGTTAAGGCCTTCAGGACAGATTCTCGATTGAACCATTGCGCATCTGCAAATTATGAATTTTTGACTTTAGATGTTAGCTAACCATGCATACGTTCACTGCAGTTTCAAGCGGCTTGCCTGCCCGACATCATTCGTTCAGGCAAGCCGCTTCATGTCAAGATGAAATGGACACGATAACTAAAGTTTCTAAACTCCAAAGCACAGTAACGGAGTTCCGGCGTACGTTAGAAGAACTACCTTGAAGCTCAACTCCGTCGACTTTGATGTCAAAACTTGTCGCGTAGGCGAAAAACCCCACCATCAGTTCGCATGACTTACTGCTAGGACCAACTGCAGTTGAAAAAATGGAGGCAGATGAGTGACCCGCCAACTGAATGTTGGACCAATGTAAACCACTGGCTTTTAGTTCTACTCTGGAAATGGACTTACCTGGCCATGGTTGTGAACTGTGATAAACAATTCGGTCAATATTAATTCCCACCTCCTCTTGAGTTTCTCGCCTCACAGCTTCCTCCAAGCTTTCTCCAGCCTAAAATTGATGGGAAGAATAAAATCAGATATCTATGCGAGAAAACATATTCCATCAGTACATGTTCAGCTGAAAAAGAATTCGGTTATCACATCAACTCAACCTCAAATGAGTTGAGATAAAAGACAAGTTTCAGACTGTGTTGTTTAAGTGGTGGAAACTACCTCAATGAATCCTGCAAGGCAACTCCACATGCGGGGTAAGAATCGAGATTGACGGGCTAAGATCACACAATCCCTCTCTTTGTCTATCACCAACATGATTACGACCTGCGGAGTCCCAATTGATCTGGTTATTCACAACCAATGGTACAATGATGAGGAAGGAGAAGGAGACTTCTCTTAGGTATAAAACTAAAGCTGAGGAAGCTAAATTCCCACTGTTGACAACATAGTTCAAGTTGCAGTAAATGAGGAAAATTAGAAGCAGACTTCAGGCTTCGTATCGAATATTACCGGATCCGTCCTAGGATACAACTTGTTCTTGCAGGACTGATTGGAGCATTGTCGCCGCTGCCCTGCTTCAGTGGCTACAGTTTTTGTCCCACATCGACCACAGAATTGTGCTTGCTTGTGCCATTCTAGGAGTGCTCTTGCCTACATGATGAACTCTATACTTCAGCACAATTTTCCTGAAAAGTGAGAGTTGCTTGCAGTACATCTGCGGCCATATACAAAAGACCCTATTTACTTGAACAGTCCATACGCGCTCACTTGTTTGTACCATTTTGTTACAAAGCAGGAAAGCATCAGGACTCTTCAGCTCCCTCTTTTGCATATTGATCTCTGTTGTAGTTCATCTCCGATCAACTTAGTATACACAGAAAACAAATGGACGAGTGGATTACGCTGCAGTATGGGCTCGTTGTTTAAGATCACCAAAGCATTCATACTCGTGACAAAAGTATGTAGAAAACTTCACGGCGCAGAACGAAATCACAATGAAACTGCGACTCACATGACCTCCAATGGCGACCTGCTCCGTGGCCTGTTTGTTCCGCCAATCAGCTGCCAGCATGAGCGTTCTCAAGTCGATGAAGGCTGATTTTTCACCGGGATTGTCCGCAGAAAAAACTGCAGCGAGCTCCTGCGCCAATTTCTGAGCGGACGCTCTCGCATCCAGCCCTTGCGCCGTCGTCGAAGCGTCGCCGTGAGCGCCGACGAGAAGTTTCGAAACGTCGATGGCGAAGCAAGGCACGCCATCTTGGTCCCCCAAATAGACCACCCTGTCGTACTTCCTGCGCACTAATTCACCTTCGGCGAGATCCGCTTCGGCCGAATCGCCGCTCAAGGAACCGAGGCCGAATGGAAACCTCGAGCCGAATTGCTCCAAATTCTGCCAGCACAGGCTCCAATTGACGACGCCCTGCGCAGAGCGCGACGCCGCCACGAGCGGTCGGCCATCGAGCACCGGCAGCGCCCGGGCGCCGGCATGGCCCAGCAGTAACGCCTCCAGCTCCCGCGGGTCGACGACGCTGCGCTTGCCCGGAATCAGCGGGTTCCCCGCGAACATGTTCACGAGCTCCATCTTCTTTCCGGCCTCGCCCAACGGCCAGCCTCTGTTCATGGCCCGCCTTCGTTCTCGTTCGCTGCTGCGTGAGTTGTGATTGTGCGCCCCTTCATCGACGAGGCTCGAGGCTCGAGCAAGAATTTCCTACGCAAAGTCTGGCCACCCGGAAACAAGTGGAAGCAAGAGTTTCGCTTTTTCTCCGTGTGAAATTCGCCGGCTTTTTTCCAGTGTTCGATTCTTGGCGCAAGCAGCGCCTTTTCCTCATTTCGGGACACCACAAATTGCACCCTGCTCTCTTTGTCCCGTCTTGTCTTGTCTGGTCACTTCCTGCCATGTCCTGTCCTGTCTAGGGACTCTGAACGAACACTTGAACTACGTCGGCTCGGACTGTGCTGGTGCACAGTCCGTAGTATATATCTTTGAACCATGGTTCGTAGATAATTTCCACTACCATCCGGAAAGCCTCCTGTACACAGTTTCGAGGTGATATTAAAAAATGATGTCAGAAAAACAGTATGTTGGTAAATTTCAGTCATAAAATTAATGGTTGTGACAAAGTGTTTTTGGCTTACTACAATCTTGTTTTTTTCATTTTGTATTTTATTTTGGTTCAAAAAGTATAAGAAATGGCTAAGTAACATCAGGGTAATGTATTGGATTGTCCTGTCCTGTCCTGTCTAGTGACACTGAACGAGCACTTGAACTACGTCGGCTCGGACTGTACACGATAGGTTCCCAGTTCCCGTTAGTGAAGACGTGCACTCAGTCGACAACGAGGTCGTTTGTATTTCTATGTCCAAAATGTTGTTAAAGGCCTAACGATACCAATGTGAGATACGACAAATATCAAAGTGTGGCACACAGTCTTCACTACACACCATTCTTTGGAAGCTAATAAAAGTACAAATCATACTTTCTCTTCTCTTCATGGCTTGGCTATTCCATGAGATCCAAAGCCACTTTATCAAAGTAAGAGCCGTCAAATGACCAATTGCCAATTGAGTATCAGTTTCGATATGCGATCTTCATTTCAATTCCAATCACTTCATTCATTCTGAACGCTCGCACTCGTCAGACAAAGGCCAGAGCCATCTTGTGACGTGTCTGCCAATGGCACTGCTGCTCTCACACAAGTTTCCATACGGTTTGGAAACTTGATGAACATACCTTAATGAAAGCGATGATCGATGGGCGTCACTTCTGCAGTGACTTGGTTTACATACATTCTCCTCCTCGATGTCAGATAATTCTGCAGACGTAGGCACCGTTATCCATGACCTCGACTTTGATCCAATTCATGCAGTTTTCATACGTCGTCCACCATTGATGACCTCCCTCATGTCAACATTGGACTGCAACCGTAGTTGGACATATATGTAATCCCCTGATCTTCACATAAGCTAAAGGATCTTCCTGTCTTGACCACGTCGACTTCTCTACCTCATCACGTTGAGTTTCCTTTTAAACCTCTTAATGGTTTGATGGCAGGCTATATTGACGCCTCAGTTGGTTCATGTAAGTCTTCTCTCGTAACTTCTACCTTCACGTACGAACTCAAGTTCGTCCAACAATTACTCTTCGTTTTGGAACAAACGATTTCATGAGTAGACTTATGAACGAAATGAGAATATGAATAATCTTTTCGTTCCTGCTGTTTTTGAGTTCGAGGATCTTCTGTACATGTCTCTGCTGTGAACAGGGACTAGTGGCTTTGCTATTTCCAGTTTCTATTCTAAAAAATTACAACTTTGGGCGACTGATAAACAGCGAGAGTCAAATTCTGGACAGCAATAGTTTATTAACGGGAATCTTAATAGCTCCGTGCACATCAGAGACTCGTGTCTGCAGAGAATGCCGTTTCAGAGCTAACCAGGATGGTTGTAAATCCAAACCAAGATCTTGACCTCTCTCAAATGACTCTTGGATCATTCAAGCACGCGGATTTTATGATGATGGCTTAGTATTGGACCGTCTTCTTGAGGTAAATTTGCGTTCGCGCAGAAAGGAATGGGCCATCGCTTTTGTTTGTCCACAAGCTAAAAATCTGTCAATGCAGATAACATCATCCATGACAGCGCTTACCCAGCTTAATTCAGCTTCTCTCAATAATACTTGCAACACCTAAAAGCACTTGGAGTCTCTAGATATAATCTTATTTGATAAATTTGTAACTTTGACTGTCGCATCTGACAAAGGACCTAACAGAGTGATCTCGAGAGCACCAAGATATTATATGTGAGGAATTACAAGAGCACAGTGGAAACTCGTGGACATTCTGCTGTGAATTTCCAGACTTGCTGAGACCTGCGTTCCTGAGAAATTTATGCATTTCTTTCCCGATCATGGACGGACTTTATCTAGTACAGTATATAAAACTATTAACATTCCGGAACCCAGCAAAATCAGTCTTGGATGCAAAGTGAGATACGGGCCTTATCGTTCCCTGCTGTCTGTCAGCAATGGCGATGGCAACTGGACTTATCTGTCAGAGCTATGCTGTCCCATGTCATTCTATTTAGAAGATCTTATTATGCTAACTGGTGTAGTATACATCTACTGAGATACCATCTTTAACTTGTATCATCATGCACATAGAGCTTAACAGAAGAGAGGTAATGCAGACATACATTTCACGAGAAATATCACGTTAGCTTGCATAGAGCTCCAGAGATCAGTGTTGACATCCACCACTTTGCCCTTGGGTATAATGTATTAGTCTTATTGCAGCTGAAACAAATCAACCTGAATCTGCCCACGTTTGCTTGAAGTACCTGCTAGATCACATGATTTTGACAGACTGAAGTGTTTGTCTTTCTGGCTGATCATGGTTACTTCCACCGTGCATTGATGTATTTTCTTACGAGACACACGAGGTAAGAAATTCATTACTTGTGATCTCTAATACGCTCTTATCAGAAAACTTCTCCCAAACCTGATGGGATGCAGAAACTACTTGCAAACATATCAGGACCGCCTCATCATATTGCAGATCTCCTGGTGAACAGATAAACTCTAGCCGAGGTCAGAGCTTAGTATGAGCTAGAACGGCCCCATTCGAATGAACGCACTCACCTTCAATTACACAGTCGCAGACATGGTAAATGTTGATCTGTGCTAATTCGGGATTCTGAGGAACAATTTTTTGCTCAATAAGATTCTCTATGTGGCCATAGAGAGAGCATCTGCATGCATTTTGTGCATGTCACGTAGATTTCTGTTCAATCTCTCCCTAGTAATCAAAATATACAGGTTCTACCAATATCTATCGAGTTTTCATTGAGCAAGTTTGGATTGTATCTTAAAAAAAAATGACACTTGTTTTCTTGGGATCAACGATCAAGTGATAGTTAGCAGTTATCAGCTCACTTGTGAAAGCAACCGTGAAGGAATCCCTCCACAGTAGAACACTAACCACCAGAATCTCTGCACACAGTTGAAGTACCTGGAAAACTGAACTGTTTACCAAGAAGGCATAGATGTTTCTTGCTATTTCACTACCTTTTTCAAACACCATGAAGGTTACATCCATCTTTAATGATTATCCCACACTGCCGTCCAAACGAAACTCGTTGTGATGAAGACTTCGGTTTTCCATACCACAGACATTAGCAATGGTGTTTGGTCGAGTGTCCATTTCTATGACATGTTTGCAATCATGAAATTTCTTGAATGCTTTTGAAACCTTGGTCTCATGCTTCATCACTAATATGATCATAATCTTAGCAATTATTCACTCAAAGGGATTCTCCTTAAGTTGTAAAAAGACAGGTACGTCCCAAGATACCAAGCTCTTTTTTCCTCTATCTCTCTATCTCCTTCACAGTTGTGCTCCAGTGAAAATCTATCCTCGCGCCTCGAACAGTTCTTCAGGAACAACCATATCTGATGTGGCGCCTCTCTAAAGAGGTGCCACTTGCGGTTCTGGAAGTGGACAATGAACTAAATTGAATGTGAAGTTGTAATATAATATTAAGCTTTAGTTATTACTCACCGCATAAAATGGAGTGGTTATTTTTGATGCAAACAATCAATATTATACTTCTATATGATTTTGATAGTATATGCATGATATGTAGAGTTTTGATATTCGAAAGTGAGTAAGAACCATTGTAGATGTTTATAGTGTACTAATCACACCTTAACACCTTTCTACTTTGTTTACAAGTGCTGTGGAAATCACCATAAAGATCTTACTCTAGGAAACCCTTCTCCCATTTGAAATAAAAACACTTCAAAATTTAACTGAAGTGATGATTCTGTCATAACTTCTTGAAACACTGGAAAATTATGATGATTTGCGAGATGTGTACTCCAAGATGTTCTAGGAATATATACTAACTGGATAACCCTAAGGTGGCTCTTGGCTACCTAAAATTAATTCAACTCTAAGGTGAACTAATAGTTAAATATGCTAGTAGATCAAATTAACTTTAACTTTAACGTGTTAACTTCAACTTTAACTTTAACTAATTGATTATATTTAAAGTGTCTATTTGACTTAAACCAGCGGAAGATATTGACTCGGAGTTAATGAATTACTTAAACATTATCAGTACTCTCTTCTGAAACCTCATCTAACGCAGTACTTTCAAGCTTTCACCAATTCGATTTACAAAAGTCACTTTGGGAAAGGTCATATCTATTTAAAATCGAAACTTAATGTTCTCTCGGTCCATGTAGTATATAATGAAATAGGAGAAAGAAAAACCTCTCAGATTTCTACAGCATTGAGTATAAACGTGCTTAGGAATCTGGCTTGATCCTGCCTCTAGCCGACCATTGTGAAATTCATTCAGTATAGTCCGATTTTAAAAAATTGGTACAATTCTCTCATCCTACGTCGGCTCGAATCTGGCTTTGGAAACAATTGTTGGTTTGAAGGTTTGGAAGAAGGGTTCCAACCTTATGTGTTTTCTTGGTCTGATTGTAATCCCAATCTTGACTATGTCTTATCATGCATGGGAGTCAAGGGTACGCTTTTCAATATTGAATCCATCAATGGTTTAGCTTAACCATGTTTATTTTTGCAATATCTCTAAAATCTTGGTCTACTAAAAAACATGAAGAGATCATAACTACTGCTACAATTGTAGAGCGCCAGGTTATCACCTAGAAGCTGGAAAGCAGATAGAGAAATATTGAATCTCAATACATTACATGTCGACAACCTTCTCCTACATCGAGGCTGAGTAACTGCCCAGACATGCAATTTCTATCATTTGATAGAAATTGCATGCAAACTGAAATATTTTCTCTAGAACAAATCTGATATTCCCGGGGGCCGTATGAATGTCGGCTGCTGCCTTCACCGTTAATTTTCTTAAGAAAAAAGGTGGTACGAATAGACGAAACATTGCAAAGCGTTGAATGACCGTATTGAATCCAAGGTCACTAAAATCATAAGGCATTTATTGAATGCACTGTTGTCAGAACCTGATCCAAATCCTGCATCATGAAATGGAGGAAATGAGGGCGGATGATGCTCACCCCAGCCACCAACTCTTCCAATATAACCGCCTCTACTACCATACATAGTGCGTGGAGCACGTTGGGCAGAAGTAGAGGCAGGCAACTTCCAGTGGACTTCAACACGTTTCAATGAAGACTCGGTACAGTTTCTCCACTGCCAATATCAGCACCATTGTTCCCATCAGGCCAACCACTTCCAGTCTCCACGACTTGGACAACTTCTACTGTCTTCCAGTTTTGGAGGTTGACCACTGTATGTGACCTGAGATTTTGAGCTAAGACCAGGATGTAGACCTCACCATGTCTAAATCACGATACATATTCGAGGAAATCCAAGCTGCTATGACCTGGTGAGAGATATTGTACAGATCGTAAACGTTGGCCCGAATGCCTTCTTGTCGGTTGCTTCTTCTCGTCTTCTTCTCCCTGGTATCCAATGGTGATTGTTCGCCCCATGGACCCATCTCCGGTTTCTCTACAGTACGTTTCCTTTTCACTCGTACGAGGGGCATGATCTCCTTCACGGTGCTTCACCTTCAGCATGCAAACGAGGCAACTTTTTGTGATATCTCCTGTGTTGATGTTGCTCTTCGGCGCATGGTTTTTATGGGAGATCCATTGCACATGGAAGGTATTCTAGGGAATGCACTTTACATGTGTCCTTATAGAAGATCTAATAGGCCACTTATGCGGCACCCATGTTCACCATCTTTCCTCGTACCTCTCCAGATTTGATTGAGGTTGCAGACATGATGAAAGCGATATTTGTCGATTGACTATTTTTGTGCATCACTCTGTCTGGTGAAGATCTTGACTCATTCGTAGAAATCCAAACCCGAATGATTGGCAGGAGGTTTGCCCACGCTGTACGTGACGTGGTGCGTGTGAAAGCAGAACAAAAAGGACTCGTCATGGTTCCTCCTTTCCCACTGCTGCATACAATGCAGGCGGCTAGGCTAGCTGGAAGGGAAAACAAAGTAACCCGTCTCTGATATATCTCTGGAGTCTGGAGCTCATCAGTCTAGAGTTTCAGAAGTCTGCAGTGTCTTTGGCCCTGAGCTGAACAGGTATCCACACAACCTCGTCTGTATCCAACTGGATCATGGAGTTTGTTGGGATTGACAAGTCTCGAGTTGGCGTCTAGTAGAAGTAAGTGAATTTCAGAAATTCTTCATGTAATGCATGATTCTCCTCGTGAATCTGGATAAGTTCCTTGCATCTTTTTCAAGAGTCTATTTAATGTGAAGGAAAGTAGTAAAGACGAAAAGCAACTCTAAACCGGAAACTGTTTCACAGCCGCACTCGGAGGATATGTCAACGACTTGTGGCAGGCTAAAGCCATATTTATCTCTGTCCTTCACAAGCATATGCAGATCCAAGAAAAACTGGAGAGCAGGTGATTTCACTCATTCCAGCCTCATCGATACGCATTTCAGCTCGCAATTGTACAGATTTAAGACCACGTGGATAAAACCAGGTTCCTCACCACAAAGGAACGTGAAATCAAAATTCTCCATAATATTTCCCTTGATCACTGTCCTGAGTTTCCTGTCTTTTGTGTCACAGTTTCCAAATTGTGTTTGGGATGAAATAATCAGTCTGCATTTTCTTTTGGTAAAACTCACCGGACAAACAACCCGGAACACAACCACAGGACCCACTCCGCCGACCAGAAAAGCCTTCTAGAAGTGCAACTTCATAGATAGTGTGAATGTGTCCAGAACTTTCGAGTCATGCGAGTACAGAACTTTTAGAACTATTGCACACGTGACCTTTCAAGGTCGGCATGCTCGAGGACGTGATCACAATTGTTGGATCATCATGAGTATGAACAATGCTTCTTTGCATGGATAAAAAGTTGAAGTTCTACGTCAGAAGCTGCTTTCAGATTCAAATCCAACCAACACCAAAGCACATAATACAAGTAGTACGAAGAATCCAAATTCTTAGGCTGAACGTGCTTGACAAGATGAGGCCCTCCAAAGGAAAACTTCCAGAAGTATTATGGACTCCAATAGAATATCAAGTGCAAACGATATTAACAAAGTAAAGATGGTCTCGACCGGAAAACATACATTACAAAGTCTGAAATCACTTCACTGGTGTCCCTGGCACGAACTACAGAACACAAAAACACAACAGAAACTTGCTCTCTGTCCGTCTGTGTGGTTGTCGGTGCTTCAATCTGCGAAGAAAGGCAGGTCGAAACCCTGGAGGCGTGGAGCATAGTGTTGAATTACCTTAAATTTGAATGGCATTTCCGCAACAGATAACAATTGAAACTGTGAGGTGAACCTCTACATTGAATTCTTGTTAGCATTTTTTTCCCTCTTCAATAAATGGTATTAGTATATTGAGGAGTCTGCCCCGACACGACTCGGCAGGCCACTACAGTACTGAGATGAGTAGCTTCACAAGGTCACAACTTTCCCATAGCCAACTCGACAAGAAGCTCGCGGAGTTGCATTGATCGCGCAAGCGTGATGTGATGCAGTATCTTGATACTCGGAGACTCAGGCGGCTAAAGTAGTATGAGACAGTGATTCAGACTTCTCGAGTCAAACTGGATCCTGTTGGCCAGCCCCGATGTCTCTGCCCCGGATCTAATGCTGTCGAGATCCTTCAGCAAAAGCACTCAAACTTTCCCTCCCCCCAGAGCAACATGAGCAAAAAGTCCGACGCGAATTCTGACATGAACAGAGCTGTTGGCATACACATAGTCGTCACTTTACCAGGGACGGATCGGACACGAAGCCTCGCCCTGTACTTCGATATCAAACAGCTCAATCTCAACCTCAATTTGCCATTCCGCGGGGACAATTCGATCGATCGCACGAATCTATCTTCGACTGGCGGGATCGTCGGGCTAGCGCTTGTCGAAGCTCAATTTTCCCAGAGGCTTCAGCTGCATGTGGTCGTTGTCCATGTCGAGGCTGATGGGGTCGTAGCCGCCACGTCGGTAGCCTTGGAGCCGGGCCACCATGCCCAAGGCCAGCACGCCGAAGAGCACGACCAGCGTGACGTGGCAGTTGAAGGCGAAGCCCATGAGCCCCCGCGCGCGCAGCTTGGCCTCGTCCAAATCGCACTGCGTCGAGCCGTTGACGCCGCCCGGCAGATCCAGCAGGCGGTGGCAGCCCTCGGGGATGAAATTCTCCACGTAGAGCGAGAGGCCCGTCTGGAACAGCCAGCTGCCCTGCAGCAGCAGCGAGAGGCAGAACACGAAGTCCACGAAGAAGGCCCGCGGCTGCCACGCCAGCAGGAACGCGCACACGCTGCTCACCCCGATGACGAACGACAGCAACACGTAGCACTTGCCTTCCAGCCCAGCGTTCAGCGCCGCCTCCTGGCCAATCACCGTCAGCTCCACCAGGAACGCCAGCCCGATCAGCACGAACGGCAGCTCATATGGCAGCGGCAGGGCTGACGTGGACTCGCTCAGCAGCACCAGCGCGGCGAAGAGCCAGAACATGAGCAGCACGACCGAGTGCTGGAAGCTGGCGATGCGGTAGATGGGGATGACGCCGTTCTCCAGCGGCTCGAAGCTCGTCGAGATTCCGAGCTCGTAGAAGATGGCCATGGGGATGGTGATCAGCAGCACGTACAGCTCCAGGCTTCTCAGCTTGCCCGACACGAACGGCACTGGTTGCCATGCTCGCGCGCAGTACTCTCGAGGATGTCTCAGGTAATTGACGGATGCCGAGAACAGATGCCACAATCCGAAGGTGAAGAAGAAGAAGGCCGGAATGAGGTGCCCTGTCAAGGTTCCCATGTTCTCAGATGACCGCGCTTCCCTATTCGACTTGGCAGATCGATGGTGTGTTTACAGATTCTGCTGATCCACTTGAGCGACAGACTTCGAGCTCGAATTCTACTCCAACTCTGTACTCGATGGCAAACTAGAGCCACAAGAAGCCATTCCTAGCTCTATCAAAGCCAATCCTGTGTTTTCGAAATCCTCGAGGGCGGCTTTCTGAACCCTCTCGATACGTGCTCGTTCGGCCCAAGGCAGATCGGGAGAAGATCAAAATCTGCTCCCCCTCCTCTCACTCGGCTTTCCAGTTCCCAAATCAGCCGACCCCAGGTCCTAAATCCGACCCTAGAATCGATGCCTCCCTGGAAATCCACTCGATGGGAAGAGGATGCAATTCCACCTCTTCCGAGGACGAGCCAGAAGCGGACAAATCTAGATCGATCTACAGATCCGCGAGTCCACTGCGACTCTTCTTCTCCTCGTTGGCCTGCCGAGTCCTGCTCTGGCGTCCTCCTTCCAGCCTCTGGCGGACCCAAGAGCTCGAGCCTGGCGTGATCTCAAAAACGATGCCACACCACTCTCGACCTAGATAATCTCTTGCTCCCAACCAAGCTCCCCTTCCTCTGGCACAATTTCGTGATCAACACATAGCCTCTCAAAAGCCTGCTCGACTGCCCAGACCGACACCAGCAGCAGCAGCAGTTTTGCAAGAGCAGGAGCCTCGCTATTTTCACCGACCAAGGATCATGAACCCATGGATTTCGTCGCCCTCTCGTGGACTTGAGAACATCTGTAGATCGGGCGCAAGGCCGCACACAGGCAGAGTAAGGCAGGCAGGCAGGCCGGCCGGCCCAAGGATCAGAGGAGGAGGGTGAGGAGGGTGAGGAGCCACAAGACACAGCGACAGAGACGAGACACAGAAGAGCAGCACATGCACTGCAGGCAGAGGCAGAGGCAGGAGGGGGAGAGAGATAGAGCACCACTTTCCTTCATAAATGTGGCAGCTCCCAGCTGACCACAGCGATGGCCTAGATGTTGTCTACTCGTGCTCTACCGGTTCTAAGCACTTTCCCCACGACCAGACTCCGGCCCGAGCTCAGCTCCAGACGATGGGAGCTAATACTCTCCAGCTTTCAACGGGGCCTCCGAGCCCTCTGACTCTTTCACCCGGTTCTCCCCATTTACCGTAATCCACGTCTTTATTACCCCCCTTGTCGTGGCACGTGTTCCCGCTGACGCAATTTCTCTGCGGACGTGAGCGATGATGTGTTCTGTCGACCCCGTGTTCTCGTACGATATCGTGGCCTGCATACTAGAACTTGTTGCTCTTCCTTACAAGGACCATTCACAGAACGCGTCTCCCGGGAAAGTGGCTTCTCTTTTATCTAATCGTTCATCATTTGATTCTTATTATTATTAATTTTGATACTTAATTTCCTTTTATTTTTTTCTACTCTATATTTTTGATAAGTGTTGAAAGAGATTGAATAAAAAACCGTGAAAAACGTAAGGGATACTTTTGACAGAATCATGTAGACCAATGTGGTGACGACGAGTTTGTTCAACATGGTGAAAAGAAGTTTGAAGTACAACATTCGCCATTCGGTTGGTCCGCTTGTATATATGCTCCTTTTAAAACTGCCACGTTTTGAGGCTATTCCCTATAAAGCCCAACTGCATTCCCATGAACATTATGAATTAAATATCTCGTCTGGTCATTCCAATGCGTATCTTACAGAAGTTGTGTTGAGTCTGTGCCCAATCATTTCTACGAGATGAAACTTTGACATGCATTGAGCAGATAGAAATAGTATATTTATGTTTCACGATGAAACTAAACTACCTTTCACAAAATGCAACAATTTTCTGAACTCTGCAAAAATTAAAAATCAATTTCATTTTCTCTGTCTCAAATGTCAACTCTTTAAAACCACGTTTAATAGTGTTTTGTGAGTTTTAATTCAAGTAAGGAGTGAAACTGTACTCAATCGGTTGGATTTAGATGGAAGATACCAGGACAACTTGATATGAACTCGGCTTCTAAAAGATAGTGTTGTTTTTTTACCATACAAAATAACTTGTAATGGTGGCAAACTACCGCTTGCAGACGGTACCGCCCTGTATCGATTTCTTGGCAAATACTCGCAGTCACCACGTAAGGAGTTGTATAGTTCATGGCGAGTATCAACGTGGGAGAATTTTGTGAATGATTTTTATGTCGTATCAGAGTGTGCTTCAATCCTTGCAGATAAAAAATTATTTGGCAGACTCGATTAACACTTTTAGTTTCAGAAATTTTAATCCAAATGTACTGACAAGTCATGAAAAATAACTTCGATACCGTTCTAAAAAGCATTCGATATATGTGTGCATTTTATCAATAGAAATCACTCCGAAATCACTATACTCAGAATGTTCATCACATTTTAGCTCGCACTTCAAGAGTTGGACTCCAAAGTGTATAATCTGATCCTTAATACATAAACATTATTGCACACAATTCTCTGGAACTCAACTATTTTCTCGGGACCTCATCTCGAGGCAAAGGATATGTTGTGGAATAAAAAGTCCACATATGCTAATGTTGTACTTTCTTTGACCTCATGTAATGAATCATTCCGGACAGTCAACACATGCAGTCAAAGTCCTTGTTTATTCTAATTCAACTTGGATTATTTGCATGTAGAAAATATAGCAGACTCAAGCTCCTCAAACCAGTCCTAGTATTTCCAAAAATTTGATATAGGACAATCATATTTACATACCTCAACATATGTATGAACACTTTCAATCTCAACCTATCTATTTGAAATTCCCAGATGGATAATTAAATTTCACTTCCTTTGACTTCAAATTCAACACCCTTTTTGCAGCTCACGTCTTTTATCGATTGCTCTCTTCATTCTCTCATTCAAAACACATGATAAGTAATCTCATTTTCTTAAGTCGAAGAGGAAAGTTCCTTTCATCTTAAATTTCTTATTCAAAAATCTGGCATTACATAAGTTGAATCTACAGTAGTTAGTCCCAACAAAAAGTTATATGAACTATTGATGTTTTTAAGAAAAAACTGTATATAACTCATTCTGTAAACGTATGAACGTAGTGATGTTTTCAACCTTCTTTGAACGTTTGAATTTATCATGTTAAGTTTACGTGGCCAATTTTCACCATGATATTTATATTACTGAACTTGCAAAGCTTCCGATCAGGAATAAATTAATTACATCTCTAAAACAATTTCTGTTATAACATCAAGAATATTTTACTTCATCGTCAATCAAAGCTGACCTTTGAGTTAATATATCAACTTAAAATTAAAAAATTATTTTCTGTGTTTCAAGATACAACATTGTGTAATATCATTAAAGACTAATGGATCAAAATAAGTCAATTGATAAAATTTTCTAAGTAGTCAGTCATTTTTCTTGAATCGTTTATGCCATGATCAGCTGTTTTCATATTTAAAAAAATAGATCTTATATTATTATTATTATCATTATTTGTAACTGAGATTTCAGAAATTATTTTTTCGAAAATTTCACTATATGTCGTTTTTTAACTAAATAACTCTCAGTTTTACTATTCGTTTCATTCACATTAGAAAAAGGACTATTCTACAAAATATTATGGAATCAAGTAGATTTATATTTGATTCATGATTTAAACCTTTTATTAAAAGAAAAAGACATTCCAAAGTTCAATTTAAAAAGAATTTATAAGCATAATTGTATACTGATATTTTGAAGGGTACAAACTAGGATTGTAAATAAATATAATAAAGCGAATGATAATTTATAAGAAATTTTACTCTGATATACATTAACAACTTGTTACGTTTAACTCAAGTTAAGGAGTTACCTTTGGTCCTAGCTACATTTAGCTAGAACCTGTTGCATGGATTGGGTTAGATACTTGATTTTTGACTCAACATGATAAAAGTTTGGTGTGAGAAACCTGAAGTAAAGTGCAACGTGTTCTTTGAACGAATGAACCATGTGTCTTGAATGTATATTGTCACCTGCGTATTTTGAGTTAATAGAACTGTACATATAGATTTCAACAATACAAAAAGTTTAGATTTTCTTTCAATCAAAAAGCACTCATTTTCCATTATTTTTGAATAGGATGAAAATTCATATTCAAATTTTTTGATTTTAATACATTTTCACTTCATTGAAAGTTCATCTTAAACACATATTCATTACGGTTTATTTTAATAATGTATTATGCTTGAGCTTTAAAAAAAATTTCTACCAACATATTTTTTATAATTTATCAAATTACATTTAATATCAATTTGTATCATGAAAATGGAATGAACTATTTTATTATTCAGATGTATGAAATCACTATTATTCAAAAATATGTGCTTAAAATTTTCACTGAAGTTCACATTCGAAATTTTATTTTATTATGTTTTTAATCTATTGCAAAATAATTTATTATGATAAAAGATTAGAAAAAGATTTACTATGTTCTCATCAAAAAATTTAATTTAAAATCAAACTTATAAGTTGTAATCAGGTTTAGATCATATCCCAAGAAGATAAATGATGTCATGGCATATATTTTTTGTATCAAGGTTTTTTTATCAACTAATCACATTATAACTAACATTATCAAAATACTAATGTAAGTATGTTACTAAAAAAATAATGAAAGAATAAAAAATTGAATTTTATGTAATCCAGTTTATTATGCACTGCAATTTTTTCACAAATGGATTAGGATTAAACAAATTAGAATTACATTCTATAATTTTATTAAATTATTTACAAGATATTACAGGAATCAAATTTTTTCAATGCTTAGTTAGAAAAATGAGCAATCAAAAAGTTTCAAATTAACCTTTTGTAAAGTCAATCCAATCTATCCAATTCAAAAATTGATGAATATCAATGCAAGTCAAATAAATTATTACTTCATCAAAATGTATTTAACAACTTTAATTGATTTTAATTTTTGTCCTATAATTAAGCCAAAAAAGCTCATATTGTAATCTAGATGAAATAATTTTTATGTGATATATATATATATATATATATATATATTCATGTATTTTTAATTTTTAATTTTTTCTTGTACATAAGAATGACAATCATTTATATGCATCTAAAATCAATAAGCATTACAAATTCAATGCCTTACTGAAAACAATGATCTTTCCTAAATAACTTGTTAACTTGTGTTAATTCTATATAAATCATAATTAAGAAACAAGTTTGTCTTCATGCCTAAATGTGCTTTATTTGATAATCATGTGTCCATCATTTAATCTATTGACAAATACAGAAAACCTTATCTTGAATGAAATAAGAAATTAAAGTCTGGATGAATCATCAGTTTTTTACATAATCATTGTATCGAATATGAAATTAAAAGTATTAAAAAATATTTTTCATCAAAAAAACAAAGAAGATGAAGTTTAACAATTAAATTTGTTAAAAAAATAAATATTTGAAAAAGAGTATTAAAATTCATCAAACATGGAGAAAGAAGCATTAAAAAGTTTAAATCGTCTTACGATATAAATATTAAATATAAGTATAATTTTTTTCCATTTTTGTCCAATCTTTTAACTTGGATAGAAATCAAGACCCAGTTCAATGCTCCAAAAAAAATGAATCACTACCTCTGTAATAATTTTGAATTATGTGAAAATTTAAGATTTGACAAGTAAGATTGATGTTACTTCATCACAAAACAACTCAAACCTCACATAAAACCTCATCAAGAGATCAAGTCTAAAGATTACATTATTTTCAATTTTTGCTTTAAAAGGATCAATATATGTCATTTGAATAATTATGAACAAAACCAGGTTCTTCAGAATCAATGAATATATTTAAAATTTTTTATTGAATCTTAACAAAAATATTCAGAAGAATTCAAAGAATATTCACTCCACAGAAGCAGAACGCTCTGAGTCCCGACTTCCGACGGTATCTGTGAGAATTGGACATTGGTGTTTATCGAAGACACTTGCTCTACTTTCAGTTCTGGTGGATGGTCTTCCCGTTTCATCTGAATGAAGCTCGAAATCTTGAATCTGTATCCATCATATCTCCGATCGACCTTTCTTGTCTCTCGGCCCCATCCTGGTGGATGACAACTCCAAGCTCCTAAGCCTCACAGACCAGCGAAATTCAATTCAATTGATCCCTCAATTGTTTTCTGAAGGTATCATTGTGATCGAGTAGATATAAGGAAGCTCAGGGCACCCAGAAGAGCCATCTCCTGAACGAAAAGCATTAGCCTCCTCGCACATTCGTACATCTGCTCCATGCTACCACGTCACGAATGCTCAACTTCTTACCCCGTGATCTGCAAAAATCTTGGAACCTTGCATCGAGAGAGATAGAGAATCGTGAAATGTAATGAATGTAAATCTAAATGAAACACTCGTGATTAGCCACCATGTCTCGAGGCTCTAGTTTATTATGATGTAGGGCACTCAATGCAATTGCGAAAGAGTGAGCGAGAGTCTTGCATCGACGGCTGCAAGATGTATTCTAGATCAAGTCTCATTCTGACAGTTTCGGTGACGTGTTTGACCCACTTCGAATGTGGACGGTTCGTCATCGTCAGTGTCATGCATTTCTCTCGATCGTCCACTGAGGCGCTTCCTTAGCTTTGAGTACCACATTTGAGCCACAGCTGCCACAGCTTCCTGTGTCACACACAAAGGATATGGCAATTCATGGAGGCCTACCTATATATGAGAGAATGGAACCTTCAAGAGTTTGACTTAGAAGAAGCTGAGCAGTTGCCTTCGTGTCCAAAACGTGGACATTATACTGGATAATGCTCAGGGTTTCCAGGTTAGAAAAGTATGATTCAGAAGGAATGAAAAGGGTACGAGGTCCAAATGGATATCCTTCAATGACAAAATATCGTTGTATTGCGAATGTCTGTGCCTTGCCTTGGGCCTGCTTATATGAGGGAGTAGACGCTATCACTCAAAGGATTCAGAGGGGAAGGAAAGAGAACCGTGAGGTGAAACCAGGTTGTTGTTGAGCTACTGTGGTTGAGGTTGTGGTAGCTGGCGGTTTCCAGGATCGGAGCAGCAAAGCACGGCATGAGGTTTGTTGGAGATTTGTTTGTGAAGTTTTTCTGTTGCCATGATCTCCGTTAGAAGAGAGACAAATTTCAAAGTCACCTCCGTATAATAAGAATTCCCTTGTAGACAGTTGCTTTACTTCAATTGATCGAAACTCAAGGAGTCGGGTGTGAGAATCGTGTTCCACAAATAACCAAAAAGTTATTGAAGTTCAAGGAAATCCAGTCAAAGTCTTCCTAATCATTCTCAAATACGGTACAATTATCAAAATACACAGTGTCCAAGTTTATGTGCACAATAGATTTGCTGGAGTATTGGTCTCTATGTTACATGATGTACCAAAACATGCCTAGATTTGGGATGGTGCGATTGAACCTCTATGTCAGAACCCACAGTTTGACCATGTGTACTGTAGATTCACATCTTCATGACCACTGCGGCTGGTCATGAAGCTAGATGCTAGGACTTACGATATGCTTGAACATAACATCTTCCAAATCAGTCGATCATGCACGACCATGATTAAGGGACGTGATTGCTGTACTGTCGTAGAGACAAGCTTGCCGTAGGGCTTAAACCTCTCCCTTAATCATGGTCTTGCCTACAGATTATTTGGACCTCATCATCCCCAGAGAAACTCCTTGAAATCGTCCATATTTTAGGTGCATCAAACCTTAACCGTGAACTATAAGAGATCAGTAGTATGTCGATGTTATCTCAGATACTTCATTACATTACCAGAACCACTTTGGTTCCTGCTTGAACCTGTCAGTGCTAAACAACATTCTGGAGTAAATTACGGTCGAACGGTCCAACATGTTCTATCTTATCTATGCTGGCTATTTTCCACGACCAGCTTGAAGTTAATCGATCACAAAATTTATTTTACTTTACGTACCACATGTACTTGGAACGAAGCGATTTCTGCAGATATGGATCTGATTGTGCGATACCGGCATCCAAAGAATCACGTCACGCCATGCAATTCTGGATCAGATTTCTGCCATTCTCCACATGGACCATAGCCACGTCTACATTCACTGTCGACATTGTGAAATTTATGTGTCTACACGAGAGAAACTCCAATGCAGGCAGGTAGCCGTCGATGACCTTCCTGATCTTCTTCGTTGAAGTGGTCCGCACAGCACTGAAGTATAAATTCTGAGAAAACTGTACTGAAGATCAATATATGCAGCTGGCGGCATTCAGTCTACACCGGCAATAATCTAAGATCCTAAGTCTTGCTATTGTAATATTCTGCTTCTAGCTGGGTAAGATCCCTGACTGCAAATCCAACCAGTATATGGACCAACAATCATATCATAGGTCATTTTCATGGCATCAAACTGAAAGGGAGCGAACAGGCGATTTCACATTCTCAGCAGTATAAGAATCGAAGTCGATTCGTTCGGAAATGTTTTTCATCTTCTCAGACAGTCTACAATCGTCCTTTGCTCTTTCATGGAACATATCTAGATAGCAGTGTCGTTATCGAGTCATCAGATCTTGGGAAAATCCTCGTTCATGAATCCCTCTGATACCGGGTAGAGATAAGACCTTAAGTTGAAGACATAGTGATTAGGAGAGCTGCCTAACTGTGTGGTACAAGTGTGTGTTTCAAGGCAGGAAATGTTCGACTGAAGTCGATAATGAGTTCACTCTTGTTTTCGTTGATGCAGAATACTGTGAGCATGAAGTTGTCGAGTTCAGCAGCGGTCTTTGCAGGCTTGGCATTTGCCTGCTTGGTTTCTATGACAGTCGCAGAACAGTCTGATATGAACGAGAGGCATTTGATGGCAGGTCCTGCCTACGATTGTGGGCAGCAGGATTTTCCACAGAATGATCACATGTCTCCTCAAGCAGTGAGTGCCTGTATTGACTCTCTGACTGAAGAGCCCATGGACAAAAAGACAGCTTCAGCAGAAGTCAAAACTCCTGATAAAGTCGTCTACTGCAGTATGGACTGTAAGCAAAATCTGACTCTTCAGGAGTGTCAGGCTTGTCTCCAGACTGCAAAGCTCCTGCGTGAAAACTACTGTCCTCGTGCCGTGAGTGCATCTTCTGTCATCGGCATCTGCTCTCTGATGCACGAGACGACCGGTACTTTCACTTGATACAAAAACTCAATGGAATTCTCGTCTCTGGCTCTACGACGACCGAAGTCAATCAATAAAACGCATTCCACAAGATGGTGTGCACCGCGAGCTGACGGAATGACGGCAGCCAGGCCATGAGTTCTGGCAAACAAAGTAGAAGGCATGCTTTAGTTTTACGCGTAGAATCCAAATGCTCAATGTAGCTCAATAAGGATTCCTGACCCAGAATTCAACTTCCGGGAACTAGATTGTAAATCAATAAGTAAAAGTTGGTGACTCTTGCCAGCAATTCTGAAGCCTGTCTTTGGTGTCAAGTACAAAACGTTTTGTAAGAAATCCTTGAAGCTCTGAAGAGCAATTGAATGCTTGTCCACGTTCAGGTCCTATGCAGAGCTGCAAGAGTCTGGAGAGCTCTTCATAAAATGAGTCGTTCAAGGGCCTCGGAAGTGCAATCAACATGACTTACCACATGTGTACATCCAACTCACAGCCAGATGCTTCGTACCACCATGAGCATGATTATAGTTCTCAAATCAAATTGCCAAGACCTTTAGGACCCTTGCGATGTTGGTGGTTCCCGAAATGGGAGCACGATCAATCGAGTTCCAACTTCTGCACGCTAATTCCATTTTGCCTCCAGACTGAGACGAGGAGGGTGGCCAGTACTAAATCTGACCCAACGCTACGTAAATTTAAACCTCAGGAAGTCAGTAAGTCACTCACTCACTGCTTTATGTCGCCGAAAGGTACGACGATGCCATGAGTGTCTGAAGCTCAATCCTGCATGGTCGACAATGGAGTTCTCCCAGTCCTAAATGTCCATCGAGAGTCACTCAAATAGTACACACCGTGTCCATCAAATTACGATCCATTCTTTGGCATCAAACGGCTCGGCACTCCTGCTCTCCTGTACTCCTGCACTCTCAAATATTGAAGATGAGTCATTCTCGACAGAAACATTCAACCATACTTCTCGATACCATTCTTTTATTCATTCCAGGTTGACTCAGCACTTATTACCCAGCTGTGTTCTTTCACAATGACTGACAGAAGCTATAGGACTCGGAATTGATTCAATTACGAAAGCGCAGGGGGGTTATTGAGCTTCACAAGACCGCCAAGTCCACCTTGCGGTTGCGCTGCTTCCATGGTCAGCTGTGTAAATCTACTGTGGTGCCTGTTTGGCACCATGCAGACAATGGCTTCAGTATGTGATGAACCGTCTGATGTCTACGATCGAAGCCCCTTTCAGTCTGGAAGACTTGGTCCTCGAGGAGCTCATCGAGTCAAAGGTTGTAGTTCTAAAACTCAGCATAACTGATTCTAAACACATCCAGAAACCTGCACAGCAACAAGATGACGACCGAATTGGATTGCATTGAATCGAGCTCGATTAATCGAGCTTAATGACATGCAAGGAGCAAGGAACCACTTGCAGGAACTTCGAGGAACCTGTACGCGGTAGAATACAACATTAACTAAGTATCTAGATTTACTACATTCACTTCAAATATAAGAAATGAATCCGGCTCCAACATTAAGGATACTCACATAGCAGTCAACACATTTAGGTCCTGGCATGAAAGTGCAGCTTTGAATGTTAAGAAAAAAATATACTCTTTCGTTAGCTTCAATGAAAATGACGTCAGTGGAACAATAAGAACAATCTGCGATTGAAGATCGATTACAGCATACTTGATACAGATTATCTTTACTTCTAAACAAAAGCTGAGACAGAATGTTGACTGACATGGTTCTTTGTCGTGAACACATACATTCTTGCATGAAGATTGAGTGAGAATGTGTTTGGTGGAACTGTAAGCAAAATCTTCACTGCTTAAGAATTCACGTGGACTTTTATTTGCTCTCTTGTATCGTCTCTTATCGGATCGTGTCATCCGAGAACGTCCGCCACACACTTCTGGCAGATGTTCGTCGACAATCGAAATGTGGAAGTCCGGAGTCGCATCCTTCGATCATTTGTTTAGAACATTTCAACCCTTTTCTTGGAGATTGTTGCATCTGTGCACCATTTGGCTGCCTGCATGTACATTGAGGTTGGCTCAATGTTGAGGCAGGCGTTGTTGAACGGCTGATTACTCAAGTGACTACGTTCTGAGCTTTCATCTGATGCTCTCTGAGTCGAAAATCAAACAGATAACAAGACAGCTCTACATGTATAGTTGTAGGTGTTCACAGACTTCTGTCTTCCAACTTCTCCACTGTTCCAACCCACGAACTAATGTCAAGTAATGTAACTAGCTTATTTAGCTATACTTGACGTTAATATACGATAGCTATAAAAGCTTGTTAAACAGCCATCGTGAGGACACCAATTTCATATTCTTTCTTTTATAAACCATATATGGTATATTGCCAAGTTTACATCATACTTTATACCGCACAGGTGGAACTTTAGGTATTTTAGATCTTCAAACAAATAATCAATTAACAATGTACTTAACGTGAAATCAGATATCCCAAATTGAGGAAATTATAAACATTCATTTCTTGTCAACCTAAATGCATTCATGTCATCATCATTATATCTCTCAACTTATAAAATGTTCATATCTTTTTAAAAATATGTGAACGACATTTGATACATCTTGTGTGTTTTGTATCCAGTTATTTTGATAATGTTATCTCATGATTGCTTATACTCATTGAATTTTGAAAATTCTGAAAAACATGCACATAGAGCCCGGCCCCTGACATAGCTCAGGGTAAGGCTAGGGTGCATACTCTTTCCTCATGAGCCTCTGAAGGATAGTTCACCTCGACCAGAGTTGTGCAGGAACTTACTGACTTCATCCACTTTCTCCACAATGCCTACCCCTTATAGATATTTCATGGCTTGTATTTCTTGTTCGATCCGGAGAAAAGTTTTAGCCAAAAAACATAGTATCATCTGATCAATCAAAATGAAAATAGTGTCAAAGTATTGCAATGATCTAAAAAGAATGAAGGTTTAAAATAATATTTTGTTGGCAAAAGATTGGAATAATTCTAATTTTTTATTGCAATCTATTTGACATAAGAAATAACCTTTTTTGCATAAATTTAAGTATGGTTAGTTATCCTTCACTTAGGGCTAATAAGCCTTCTGGCTTTTCCATGATTGTTCTTGCCGGGTCATATCTTTCTTGGGATAAGCAACATTTTAGCAAGTTTTCATTCTTTTCCCTTTGCGTCAAAGATGTTTCTGTGTCAAAGCCACGCCTAGCAAAAATGGTCTTTCCTTATAGCAAAAATGCTTCAGCTTCTTGATCAAATCTAGCACTTTTCGTTCCGTAATCCTTGATTTTTATTACATCACCAATTCAGGCAGACAACAACCAACACTCACGTATGATTTTTGGCCTAGACGGCAGTCAGAAGAAGATGGTAGCACGAGAACGGATGAGCTTATCCTATTTGCGGGCCAAATCAGTACCATGGACTGGGATACGTACCAAATCCACGCCAGAATTTCAAGCCCGCGTGAGGAAGATGAAGCGCCTCCGTGGAGAATTCACAGCATCACAGTACTCATCAATTGATGAAAGAAACATCTCGACCTCGGATGGAGATTGAGCGTTCCAAATAAGATACCAATTGAGCGCAGTTTTGCGACAAAGTTATTTACGTATCATTGCATTGGATTAGGTTTGAATGATATTTGTTAGTATTAAAACTAGATATATAAAAGTAATTGCAAAGTTACAATTGTAAAAAATATTTATGTATACCATTTTAATGATTAAAGTATTATAACAAGACTTTTTACCAACATTTTTTAACAAAATAATTACAATGTACGCTTTGTACTTGATTTAAGTTTTATCCAAATTAAGTAAAATATTAATGAAATTTAACTACTCAAAATTACTTCAAGTATACAATTGTAACAATGTAGTTTACAATTGATCTTGATAGAAAAATTTGAATGATTACAAGAAAGTGATGAAGAGTTTTTACCTATCTTCTTTATCCAAAAGAATATTTGAGTTTTTATGATTACAGGAGAATTATATGGATTTTAATAAGTTAATTTTATCCAAAATTATGAATGTATTTCTTTCAGTCAAAATAATATTCAAGACCAAAATTTGATAAGAAATATATTTTTCAATAAAATCTATCAAAGATAAAATTTTATGCAGACATTTATAATTTTGTTTAATATTTACGGTAGATCAAAAAAACTTGTATAGTCTATACCAAATCTTGTTCTTGAAAATTTTCATAAATTTATGTGATAAAATATGAATATATGAAATATTATGAAAAGAAATTAAAATTTAAAATGCAATAAATTTTTGAAAATTTTTCTTAAAATATAATTTCAATTTTTGTAAAATATGATTCAAATATTCTAATCATATTACAAATTGCATGTAAATTGAGGCTAATTGAGAGCTAAAAGAATGAGCTGAAGTAAAAAATAGAAGTAATATTGACACAAAGAGCTCACTACAATATTTTGAAGCCAAATGTTTAAATATGTTCAAAGCAATTTTATGTATATGCAAATTTTTTACTACCACTTTTTACTATGCAAATTGATTGTCAAAAATAAAAATTGATCCCTGTATATTACACTTAAGCACATGCCACAAAACTAAAATAATCTTATGTAGTTTTCAAATTTTTTGACAACTTTGCATTAGTTATGCTATTTAATCTCACTTGAATATTATATTGAATGAGATGAAAAGTCTTTTGAAGCAAATATAAAAATCCTGATCTTTTTTTATTCAAATGATTTATTTTTATTTTAAATGTATAAAATGAATACATTTTGTTAAGAATAATTAATTTTTTCGGTAAAATTTTCAAATTCATATTTGGCTTAAAAGGTTTATAAACTGCTTGCTCTATGATGTGAAACATAAACTTGAGACAATGGATGTAGATGAAATAGTTTCATTCATGATTTAGAGCTAATTAATGACACAAGTTATATGATATAGAAGCTATGTTCAGATAGAAGTTCACTAATAAACTTGATACACAAAACTTTGAAAATTTTGAGAAGAATGGATATCAATTTGTGAATCACTCAAATTTTTTGTTAGATAAAGCTTCTTGAAAAAATAAATGATCATTCAAGTATGTGAATTTTGTGAACCACAAGTTTTGAAATTATGCAATTTGTTATTTTTTAAGCAAAGATAAATAAGAATTACAAGCTAAAAATTTCATTTATCAAATCATTTTTTAAGTCCAAGGTTAAAATTTTATGATAAAAATCTAGTAAGTTATATAATATTACAATTCCAACGTGAAAATTCTAAAGATTCTTGACAACTTCCTTCTATCAACACTCATCTTTGTATTATTCTAAATCTGATTATGCCAAATAACAAACTTAAATACTTGCAAATTTTTTGAATGACAAAGATGAAAGCAAATCATTATATATAATCACATGATGATTTACTTCTTGTGGTTACTTAAAAATCTTATTTGAGTAATAAGATTCGATGCAAGTTTATTTCTATTTGATGTTTATCCGCTTCAAAAATTATTTTAACATAAATTTTTTTTGTCAGGCGGCTAGTTATCCATCACTTAGAGCTGATTAGCCCTCACTCTACTAAATGCTGGTCATTTATTGATGGCGCCGAGTTATAGCTTCTGCGGGTTTTATTTCTTTTGACTCTTTGTCAAAGATGACTCCATGGCAAGAGTCACGTCAACCCCATGCCTGCCACCTCCACCATGTTTGTCAAGCAAGCCATGAGTCAGCGAACTCTTTCGGGATAGCTCGCCCGCTTTTCTCCTTCCCTCACTTTTCAGCTGCAAAATTAGAGCGAGCAGCGGTGCCGCAAACCTTTCATGGAAAAAATCAAATCGGTTGCTCCCGCACTACCGTATGTTTTGATGCTCTGCTCTATCATCGACTTGCTTGTTTATTTGTTGCAGTGATTGAGCACCTCGACTCGACATTATGTACCGAGCGGCAGCCTCAACCAACAACTCTTGCTCGACATCATGGAGAAGAGGCTGCAACAACAAAGATCTCCAAAAAACATTGTTGTTTGTATGTATTTATGAAAGCCAACTTGTACACGTTAGGGAGAGTGTGCGTCAAGTTATATTGATAAGGCACACAAATGTGACCATAGGCTATATTAATACTATCATGACAAAAAAATCTACCTTGGAACAACTCAAATCAACCATTCATATATATCAAATGGTCTAAGAACAACGTAGTAACATAGCGAGAGAGAGGGAGGGACAAGGTTCGAGGGCGACCTCACTGCCTCCTCCCTCTCTTTTTGTGCTGGCCATGATGCGTTGCGTAGACTATTGACGACAATCAGACAAAGGAGTCAGAGAGCGACAAACTCCATCCATCCTAGGAAATAGCATTCACAATAGATCTCAAACGCGGAGGTGGCAGGCATGGGATTTACGTGGCTCTTGCCAAGAAGGCATCTTTGACGAAGAGGCAAAAAAAAAAACCCCGGAGATGGTAGAACCCGGCACCACCAATGAATGAGCAATGCATAGTATAATGAGGGGTAATTAGTCCTAAGTGAGGGATAACTAGCCGCCCCCTATTTTTTGGTGTTTACAAATTTTAAAAATTGATTATGATTTCATAGAGACCATGTTTTGCTAATGACAATATGAGATTTTCAATAAGTATGTATGACCTAGCACTAAGATGATTGCTAAACATATATATTAGAGATAAAGTCAAATGAAGTACTTATAAGTGATGAATTTGATAATGATTGAAATATGACGCGATTGCTTTGTGTTCAAATTTTTGTGTTTAAGTTTTAAGTGTGTTGTCATCACATACTACAATATGATTAAGGTGATACTATAAACGCCAAGTATACATAAAAATTATTTTGGATACTAGTGCAAAGTTGCAAAAGGTAGATAGGAGGTAAAAACATTCTCAATTTCATCTTTAAAATACTGCCTGAAGTCTTCAATTTCATTGTAGTTATTGCATTTAACATCAACAAAATTGTGTACATTATCGTTTCATCATCATCCGACAAGCAATACAATTTTAGACTTTTTGTTTTATTATGTCATTTGCTTAAGAAGCATGAGAATAATTGTTTGATTGACAAAGTTAACTTAGATATTGATTTGATTATGTTTAGTTTAACCTAGTTAGTCTGTATTGTATAAGAAAATCCGATAAAGCTCTGGTTGATACCATGAAGAATTTTTCAAAACCTGATTGATTGTATGCAATTTCCCGTGTTGGCTATTTTTTCATGTTCTGTCATTGAAGTGAATGCATGTTTGCTCGTGTACATGATCCAACACTTGCAAGAGAGCAAACTTATTATAGACGTATATGATTTTTTTAACGATAATGAACGGTGTACAAAGACTAAGTATATAGTAAATCAGATAACAACATCACAAATTGTAGCCACAATTGTCTTATTGCTTACTATATGCTTGCTTCTTGTTTTATATTCATTGAGGTCCAATTTAAAGATCACGAGATATTGCAAACACATATTAGTAACAAATTTTTAAAAACCAAAAACTTTGTGATCTACCTTAGGAAGATTAAATCTACATAACAAAATTTGTTTAATTTAAATTTCAATTATGTCAAAAAGACCTTCTACCAACATAGCATGAGCTAGCTAGTCTAACTAACTAATATCAAACTAGCTAAAATCAATCAAGTTCTGAGAATAACAAGACTTTCAATTAGATCATCTTTTTGGAAAATTTTCAAATTCATAATTAGTACATAGACACTGATAAAAATATGTATGGATTTTCCATAATCTGGTACCAGTGTTATACCTACTGTTGTATTGTGTAGAGGTAAGAAAAACGATCAAACTCTGAAGTTTCAGAAGAAACATTTTATATAATGTTTCGTTTACCAAAAGACTGAAATTGGCAATAGATCCATATGTAACCTTGCCGCCATCATTCATAACCGAAATTTAAATTACTGGTTTTAACTGGATAGCATATTCCACAACATAGAAGAAAATCATGAGGGCTTTAACTGTACAATTTTGCTTGCACTATTGCCCTTCAACTCTACAATTTCAGTAGGATATCTGCGATGAAATTACAAGGAACACTCTGCACCAGAATAGAACATGTAGCATCATAACACGAATATCGTTCCAACCTAACATATGCTCTAAAACATCGAAAGCATGCCGGTTAATGCTTTCATTACATAAGGTAATGAAAGCATTAACCGGCATGACCTTTAAGTAGCAATAACTAACCGAGTAAAAGAGAAAAAACCCCTGTAAAGCCAAAGAAGTCTCCTTCGGACCCTGGGGCAAAGGCAAACCCGATAATAACAGAGCATACTGTCTAAGTAAAAAAACTGCTACGCACCTCAGAAAAAAACGTTATCGTAGGTATTGTTCTATGTGTGTGTGAAGACGTTTTTTAAGATTTGCAAAGCAGATAGTCATCGTCGAGCACCGACCTTAAATTTTCATGAAAAGCATTTGCCTATCCTTCCGGAAGCCATCTTGAGACGGGATTCCATATTTTCTTGTCACAGAGTAATGTAGCAACAAGGATAGGAATATCCCATTGAGTCATTATCAAATGTTACTGACAGGAGGACTCCCTCCTCGAGCATCCAGAAAAGATCAGGGCCGTTTGCCAGAAACCAGAGAGACATGGTTAGAATGTGGTCACAGCTTCGAGGGCGGTCTTGGGGTGACGTCAAGGCACGTACATAGTCAAGTCCAGGGTCTGGACTAGGCCCCCGTGAACGCAGTCAGTCAATCAGGAGAAGAACAAGGTCGCGGAATACTGAGGAATATTGCGATAGAAAATTGCAAGGAGATAACACGGACGTGCAATCCGACAGCCCTTTCTTTTGAAGTCAGGAAGGTTCAGACGAAGGGGCGGCGGGCTGCTGAGCACTACGGAATGCGCAATGGGACGGACCTACGAGCACTTTCGGGATCACCGAAGCCCGGTCCACGTTGACTAAGTTTGCTCGGGTCATCTTCACGACTTGATTGGCTGACCATGGGCAAGTTTCATCAGTGTTGAAGTATAAACGAAGCACATTCTCACGTCTACTCACAACTGCACTCACATCACAGGCTCAGGATACATCCCTCTATTCTCGGCATCCCAAAGCGTAAGCAAAGAATCTGTCCTGCCATGGCTTTCACCGGATCGAAGCCTCCTTCCGTTCTGGGCGTTGCATATTTGGTGGGAATTATTCTTCTGCACACAGGTACGTACTTAAATTCTGCAATGCCATGTATATGCTTCGAAAGCTACTCGAGTGCAGCACACCTTCTACCCACAAATCTTATCTATGGCACGCATATGTGAGTTGTGTGTGGAATCGTTCTCATATCAGATGCATGCTTGCCACAATTTGAAGCCACTGATCTCGATCAGATCAGAATCGTCAATCGCTCGCTCTCGAGTTTGAGCCAGAAGTAAAAATTCTGTAAGAATCTTCATTCGTACTCGATAGAAGGTCATAAGCTGGACTGGTGCGCGGGACACTTGACTGCACTCAAGATCATCGTATTTAAAAAAATGTGAAACGCCCGAGCGCCGATCCGATGGATCGATCAATGGATTGCTTGATAGATCGGCAAAACGTAGTCAGTGTGTGAATTGTTTCATAATTGTGAGACTAGTATCTCCGAGACCACTCATCGAGTGTTGGAATATACTTCTGGAATATTCGCGTCAAGCGTTGCTGTTTTGTGGGGGTATTGCTTCGCCAGAATATTCTGGCAGTCTTGTAGCTCGAAATGCTCGGAGGCTGAATATCGAAGTCTCCTCTCCGAAAGAGTGGAAGTCTCCTCTCCGATCTTCGTGCGTGACTGATCGATCGATCACAAACTGGGATGAGTCTGGGATACCGAATATTGAAACATTTTTTCGTGGCAGGGAGCTGGAGAGCGGACGCTGCTCCACTGGTGATCAACAGCGAGAGCTACATAGTCCGATACCAAAGCGCGACTTGCGATAGCACTGGAAGACTAGTTTTCTCGGGTGCAGATTCTCCAATCGTTCTCAGCTCCACACCTAATTTACAGGTTCGTCTCAACTTTTGCGCTTGCAGACTTGAATATACAAACGCTGCATGCATGGATGGATGGGCACCTTCGGACTTTCTTTGTATTGAATCAGATAGACGTCAATCGATTGGGCTTAAGCGAGGAGTAGCCAGCAATATAAATCCCCGCATCTCTCATGGATCCTATGGGTGCAGTATTATTTGCGCATTGGTACGTAAATGAAGTTAGTATCGTTGGGTGGAGCCAAACGATAAATAAATTAACTGGCCTTTAGAGTCGCATTGGAGTCAAAAGGTTGGTTGTTGGTTGTTGCTACCTGGAACCTCTCGGCTGATCTCGTACACAGGGAACATTCCATCCGCAAGAGATTTTCATCTTTCTCGATTACTCCACACTAACAACGCTCAGGCAGAGCTTTGTGTTCCTCGCGTTCGAAAGTCAGTTCATTGGGCTGACTTTCGCAGGCAAAACACTCGATCCACATAATATCTAACGATCACTACAATCTAATGATGCAGGTTCAGACAAGCACTGTGAACTCCATGCGTTATCAGGACATCTGGAACCAGAATCTCATAACTGGTACAAATTCCATCTCGTTTGAAGATACTCGATGTGCATCGATTTAAGTGTATTTTTGAAATCTGGTGCATGCATAGTCCAGCAATCACGGGGCTCGATGAAGAATCTGTGCGGTGCAAGAAGTGAATTAGGACTCAGGACCTGGGCGACCGATTGCGCGTTTTCCATGGAATAGATAGCTCGTACTCCTTTCAATCCTGAGTTGGAATTCGCCTCGTTGGCTGGCTTTCGCAGATAATCCTCCACGTTATCAAATTCTACAGGTCGGCGAAGGGGAAGAACCTTCACAAAACTGCATGTTCGTAGATGCCGACGCCGGCGCTGGCAGTATCCTAACCGTCGATGTCTGCTCGTCGTCCTCCACCACCTTCCAACAGTTCGAGTATTCCCTGGCTACGAGCGCAACCGGATGCGAGTCCGGCAACGAAAACGGCTTCGCCGTGCAAATAAAACCTGCAGCTGTAGTGGACATCGGCGGCGATCTTTGCTTCTCTGCATCCAGCAGCGCCGGTGTCACTGTCACTCTCCAGACTTGCAACTCGGCTGACGAAAGCCAGCTATTCTTCATTAATGTTCCATCTATCACGACTCAGCCTTGAGAAGCTGAGTGCTCATCGATCGAAAGTCGTCTTCTAGATGATTGGCTGAACCGAGAGAAGAGTGATTTCCTTAGATGATTAGACTGTTTTTGGGTGGGACTGTCACCTCAATGTGTTCATCAGTTAATACAAAGGTTCTAATTTTAAAGATGCAACTGAGTCGTTTATTAATCTCACAACGAAGCAGAATCCACTGGCAATAGTTTAAGCACAAGAAGATATTCTCACGAGCATTATTTTGCCGTTCGAATGAGAGGATGAAGCGGAGTTCTAAGAAAATATGAATATTTTATTTTCATGCGAGCAGATTCGCAGCTCCTCGATCCCAATTCTAAGACAGGAAAACCTGCAACAGTCATTGCCGACGTGGGCGCCAAAGGCCTTAGAGATATGATTCTGCTCTTCGTCCTCACTTATGATAGTAGTAATGAGGGACTCATTGCAAATTGGTTCAAGAGATTAGTGGCGGAGCCAAGATTGTTTTGGTGGGGGGCCTCGCTAGTTATTTTTGTGACACTGAAACTGATATGCTAATTTACAAGAAGCCCCCACCGTGATATATAATTGTGGGTTAATGGGTAGCCTATAATGGTGATCGTTACCAAAAATTGCAAACTTTGATGTGGTTCTTTGTTGCAAGTTGGAGTACTTGTGGGAATCAATGCGTTGAAAGAATTTTTCTTTGAATGATCTATTTCTTTAAAGCCCGTTGATGCCTCCACACATATATGCTCCATCATAGCCTTGTACTGCACCCATGATAGCGAAAGACTGTTTGGCTCAAAGTGGAAACAATGGCGGACATGAGAGATTCCAACCTTGTATAGGCAACATGGATCATATCCAAAAACCTAACCTTAATTATTTTAGGATTGTAGACAAACCCTATAACCAACTACATCTATTCTAGACTTGTCATGATAACGAAAAGCAAAACCTTGATCTCCCATAAATCTCACTATCTCGACATAACCGGTCAACCACATAGTTTGTGATCAGCTTTTTGTTGATCAAGTTGACAATCCAATGTGACCTCAATCAAAAAATGTCGATTGGGTAATGACTTCTAGTGCAAAGAGTGAACTGAAGTGTGTTTACCAACTTGTTTTGCCAATTTGAGATCTTTTCCAGCCATTGTGTTCCAGTTTGCAATCCTACGTATACCAATCAAGAAAATAACAGTAAAAACAATACATATCCTCCTTTGAATACAGTACTTTGCATCGTCTTTTGATTATAGTACTTTGCAAGACATATTTAACACTCTGTTTTGTAGAAGGGTATTCCTACAATTATGGTTGAAATTTCTACAACTCTGTGAGGTCGAGTAGGACAAGATGGTTGGTCTCAAACCGGCATCGCAATCTAACGCGACCTCAAACACAAAGAGGTACTTTGTACCCTGATGATGCTTCGATAAACTAGAGGTTAACATCATTGAAGAGGCAAACTGCTCCAACCAGAAGCTTGAGAGAGGTAAGGAAGATCCTAAAAACAGTGGCAACATGTCATGACATGACATTTTATATTTTTTGAAAATGCTTCCAAAGTTAGCTACCCTTGGCTTGCATGTAAACTACCCGTCGTGGGCTTGGTTATCCCAAACCCAATTTGATCACCATCAAGTATATTCAGATTCGAGTGTTTGTAGTCATTTGACCTCTACAGATAAATTACGTGTCGAGTAAATAAAGAGAATAATGGCAAGACCCCATGGGTGGTAAGGTTCGCACGAGGAGTATCACAAAGCAAATCTGTCAAACAGCACTTATATCAGGAAAAAGCGAAAGTATTCAGATGACAGAGCACCAAGTTACATATCACCTTACGTGATATTTTCGATGACGAGGAATTTGCCTTCTACAAAATTATTATAATACACAATGGACTCAGAGTCGTGTAGTTGCGGTTACTCGTCAATCTCAGTTGGTCACAGAGCAGCCTAAGATGGTAGACACTTGTAATCCTGTGGAGAGTGGAATCGTGTCCACGTGGAGGGGCCATGTGGCGGTCATGCAACAGAGAGCTGAGACCGAAGTCGCCTTGTCAATATCAGAAAGGAGGTCCGTGTCCACGACCTCTTGAACACTTACGTGACAACAATAAATGTTCGTGACTTCTCACCGCCCCTCGACAACGCAACTTTCTCGATTCTCTACCTTGGTCGGTTAAAAATCTCCATCGACTTCTACTTCCCAGGGAATGAACGCACGAAGGATTCAGTATCACAGAGCTTAGGAAGGAGACAGTGTGAGAAAAGATCTCGTCGGGATTGTACACGAGAAGAGAAGAGTTTTCGAGCTGCGCACTCGACACACATTTAAAGTATTCGCCGATCGCTGCAAGTCATTTGACTGAGCTGGTTGGAGAAAGTTGCAGCTCTTTCCCAACCCTGTAAGAATGAGGACGACTGCTTCAAGTGCTCCCGCGTTAAGGAGTCTAAGGACCTTGTATGGAAACCATTGTTACAAAGGACGCTCTCTCGCCACCGTAAGGCTCACCTTCTCTCATTACTGTTGGGTTTGTGATAAATTGATTTCTTGGTCTCGACTTCCCAGATGCTACGTCTCTGCATGTGCTGCGAGGAGAGCCGACTCGTGGTAATAAAACCACCTAGAATGAAAACACGATCGGGCTCGTATGGAAAACGATGAAGATGTGAGATTCGTGCAATGTGGTCAGCAGTCAGTCAGTGGCTTGAGAGCAGCGACAACTTGATCATAGAAATTCTTGTCGGGGACATTCCGGAAGGTAGTTGGAGGTGAAGGGCAATGGCTTATTTATCTTATCGATGCGGACAAACTTCGAGATTGATGAGAAGATTTTTTCCGGGGTGATTTGCTAGTGCAGAGGCGAGGGGAGGGGAGAAGTTGCGCATCTGAAATCTTCGTCCATGGAATAACGGAAACTGCCGCATGGCGGTTTCCGACCCTGGGGATTACCATCCGAGATTGGGCTGAAGTTGCTGTTGTCATGGTTCGCAGGTGCAGGTGCGAGGCTACGCCAACGAGAGAGCGGAAGACAGCTCCTCTTCTAATTGGGGAACCGGGGAGCCACCCATCGATGAGAAGCACACGCAAAGGGGAGTTTCTCGAGGTCAAACCTCCGGAATGAACCAGAATACTTCAACGGGAGGTACGCCGGCGGTCGGTCGGCACGACGAACCCACATCCACATCAAACTTCGACTCCGGCGCCAGTTCGTCTCCTGCCGCAGCCCCTGACTCCGAAAGTGGTGGAGAAACTAAGAAGTCGAGGACTGGCGGCGACATGAACGATGACGGACAGGTGAAGACTCCGCATCTCGGCAAAATGAGAACCACCAGGGACATGATTCAAGATAAAGGGAAAGAAACTGAGGATAGACTATCGCACCCAGAGTCTAAATCCACGTGAAAATTCTATGACCGTGACCATGTGCAGGTAGTTTGACGCTGAAGCTGAACGCGAAGATGAACTCATCTCTAGAACGCATTCGTGATGTTACCACGGAGACATGGGATCAGCGTCAGAACACGCTTCAAGCATCGACTGGAGTGACTTCTCTCAGCTCGATCTTTCGAACCGATGATGTCCAGCTCTTCGAGCCAGCTTGACGCTCATTGTGTTCCCGCGCCGTATTCATATGCAAACTGAACATTATGACGCCTTCTACAATCAACTGTGACCGAGAAATGACCGCATTTTGGGGAAGGCAGCCAGCCAGCCAGCGACAGATTTTAAACTCGATCAGTTACAGATAGTTCAGCTCGACGAGATGCACTTTCACTTTGCTTGTCATAGAATAATTCTTTTTAGTGATATACGATCGAGAACTCCTTTTTCTATTAGACGAGAAGAACTGCCGACTCGCTTAGCTCTACGAGGTGGCAGGAGCCGTCAAAGTTTGTCTCGAATCGTGTAATAGTTAAACATGATGAAAATGCGATAGTGAAAGTTGTCCGAAGATCTGCACCGATTGCTCTGTCTTCGAGATGATTTCTGTTGTGAGCATGGAAGCTCTGACCGAGAAAAGTATTGCAGCCTTTTGTTTACTGGGCTATTGAGAAGTTTTCCGTGACGTTGTTGAATGTAGAACAGCTGATCTTGACAGCAAGTTTGTTACGCTTTCCTCGCATGTTGAGATGCACTGTGTATAGTCTAGATTCCTTCCATCCTCCGCGGCTTGTAGTTGGAGTTTTGGCGAGGCAATACTTGCTGTCTTTTCTTTGAAGCAAGATTTTCACGCGAAGTTCAATATCTTCCTCTCATCGTTTATTTGTTGAAACTGAAGATTTGAATAAGTAGACAAACATTGTGTGTGGAAGTATTTGGGCAATAAGATGGAATGGTCGAAAAATCATTGCAAAATAACTTCTGTGACCATTTTTGTTGACGAAATGATCGAACTGAGTCATAATGAAAATCTTAAGTGAGAATAGTTTTACATTCATTGAACAGTAACTTTGGCAATTTCCTACAAGACAAAATACAACGACATGTTTTTCAGCCTGGCCAAAATTTATGAAACAAAACTGGAAATGGAATCATTTTTTTCTTAGTTGTTGATTACTATCGCATATATGTTTTGTAAAGATCAAGTACACGTCCAGTAGGTTCCAATCTATTCTTGTGTAGATGATATTCTATTATAGTCAAGTGGTTCTTTGAGTAAGTGATTTACAAATCAGTAAACTAAGAATTGAAGTTAAAAATCTTGGGTGGAGCAAATCCTCAACCGAATCAATAGAATATATATCTCAACAAACTCCCCTAACATATGTCGTACACATATAGTAGTCAATTTACGAATTCTTAGTAAATTGCATCTAGTGAAATGAGCGGGAAGATAACAAAGTTGACTGGTCTAAAACATAGTCAGAATAAATGACCGTCATGAAACTTTGATGTTGAAAATCAAAATATGAGCATGAAGGCATGCGTTATAATTTTGCATTTGTACAAAATAGAATCTGTTCTATGTGCAAAGTAAGGGTACCATGCAGTACATTTCGCACACAGCTACTCAGATTACAACCACTCTCTCCACTACAATTGTCAACATTCGCTCCACCCTTATGAAGTAATATGACATTGAATACTCTCGCAAAGTGATTGCGAAGTATGCTCGAGGCAACGTCACATCATGCCGATGTAAATTTTGAGTTTTTTGACAGTTGAGGTAAGGTTGATATTGTTCCAAATTCATCACGCAAGCGCAAGTACCAATTGGATTTCAAATATTGGCCAGCACCGGTTCTTAGGCCACAAGTATCTCAGCCATCATTTCACACAATATGACGAGTCATGGACGCATGAATATGTCGTTATCTTGCAAAGATAAGAAGGCTTTCTTCAATCACAAAGTCAAGATCACAAACACTCTTCATTGGTACATGAATTTGGACAGCGACACGTTGGCGTTGACAATCAATCCTAGTATTGTTGATATCATCATCGACGAACTCTTCGTCCGTGACGACAAGTATCTGACGAATAACAATGTTAATGACGACAAATATCTTGTGGATGCTATTTGCAAGACTGCTCTCAAGCAAGAGAAAGAGAACGTTATGAAACTCTTTGTGAAGAAGCAAGACACTGCTGGCAATACAAAATCTTACAGTGTGATCATCAAGAATTTGATGCGATTCAATTTGGCTATGGATCACGTATCAACAAGCATGTCATTTTGTAAAGTAGCGCAAGCCATCCAGCATGTCAAGGATCATATCAAAACGGCTAAACTGATGGGCGTGAATGATACCATTGTTGGGCAATATGTTTGTGTCGTCTTCGCCGCTTCTCCGCAACAAATCACCTACATGATCGAAGATAAGTTTGTCTAGGCATTCTCTCTTGCCGGAGATGTTTGTCTAGGCATTCTCTCTAGCCGGAGATGGTAGCACGCATCGAGGCCTGCCATTCTTTGACTTGCATTTGTGAATTTATCACAATTCTTTGTTGAACTTCCATCTTGTCACCATTTCGATGTTTGATTGTCATTCTGCGCAGAACCTTTTCAATATGATTATCAAGTTCATGTGGCGTCAAAAATTGATCCACATGTCATCTGATGATGTGAACACGATGATTGGATGACATTCCATTCTGGTAACTCGTATTGTTCAACATGCTAAGAACAAGGTGTTACGCATATGGTGCGATTCTCCTTAGATTGACATTGTCGCGAAATCACGTGTTGAAGTTATCATTGGAGGCAGATGGATCCAGTTTGCGTACTCCTTGATTTTTTTTGCGTGCCCAAAACAATCTTATCATCAGTATGGGTGTCAAGTGTCCAAAGAAAACGAATTGGTGGATTCATGTCGGTCGCGCAAGTGACCGAGACATATCGCAACTCTTACCAACATGTTTGTCGAGAGCCAGATGTTTGTCAACATCTGGCTCTGCAATCCTGATGTGCCAAAAAACAATGCAAAGCAGCTTGTAACTCTCGACAATATGTATATCCAAACGGATGTGATCGTTGATCACATTCGCGATCAAGTATAGTTTGCAAGCTCTTGCTACAAGCTTCTGACGGAAGATGTAAAGATCACAGTCTTGAAGGAAGTTGGTGTATGAAATGAAGCTTGTTTCTGATCTCATGGATGGACGTAAAAGCGGAGCGTTAATATTGTTACGCTCCGCTTTTACAATATTAACTGTGACCTTGATGAAGATTCACCACCGATTACTTCAAAACTTGTTCATATTTGCACCAGTGTGTTTAGCTAAAAGGTGCTCAATCCATTCCGAACTCATCTTGCAAAGTGGTGGAGCGAGGATCACATTGAGGAGATTAAGAACGAACACCGTGACCTTCACAAACTATACATCACCAACGTCGATGTGCGAAAGTTTGTCGACAAAACAACCGTCAAATCGTCATTAGATGAGACCTAGTTATTTCATAATCTTCGCTCATTCTGCAATGGATTAGCAACTATGTTTGCTAACATTACTTATGTGGATAGCAATTTCTCCATTCTGAAATGGGAGATGGATGAGTTTCGCACCTGCTTAATGCATATGTTACAAGAGGGTATTTTCCAAAAGAAGCAGAGAGATCTCCTCGGAGTTTTTTACAAATAAAAGACTGTTTATGCAAAATGTACAAACCAACTGTGGCAGCATGCACAAATTAAGCTAATTTTGCTACTTTGTACATACTTATGAGGCCCGATGAAAGGCCATGTGTTTAACTACAACAAATGACTCATAAGCTTGAAAATTATTGACGGGATGTTCTCAGCTTTGGAATATTATCAGCAGAGCAAGGTGACAACTCTTGCCTCCATTCTCCTTCAACGCGAATTGCGAGGGATAGAAGCCATCAGCAAAGAATATAACACTTGCATTTCCTTTGGGTTTGTCTCTGGCGGACAGCACCTAGGATACTGAATTTCACGGGGAATTTAGCGAAGCTACCCGAGTCCACTAGTTCAATCCGGGGAGGTTGCTCGTATAACCTTATTAATGGATTCAAAGAGGCTGCTAATGCAGCCTTAACCATCGAGAAATTCTTGTGAGTTTGTATGAACATGTCCATTATCATTGTGTGGATTAACTCGCTTCAACCACAATGTAGTATCTTAGCCTGAACGATGACTGGGATCTGATACAGAGCGCAATATGCAAGGTGAAATGGACCAACTGATTATTACACAAGACGAACAAATCCGCTACGCAAAGGGAAGCAGAGAGGAAGACATGAGGAAGAGGAGCTAGCAATCCAACGCATCGATGCAAGGAAGGAAGGTCTTTATGAAGTTGCTGCGAATAGACTGTGCACAGGCTGGATTTCGTATCTGACTCACATCAGCAGGACTAGCAGGAGTGACCTAGAGGAGCCGTGAACAAATGCAGCATGGGGCTTTTCCGAGTATCGCCGCCAATGTCAGTTCTAGGTTTCAATATAAAACAAGAGTCTCACGTCGTCAAGGAGAAAATTCACAATCTGTTGGAGCGAACACATCACAAACAGTCCTGAGCACCTCCGCCTCCTCCAGCAGCTGAGAAGCCAGACCCACAAGCATCGACACAGGAGCCACCAACATCAACACCTCTGTCAGACATAGTAGAAGACTATGTCTAAGCTCGTGCTCAGAACAGAGCAAAAGCGCACAATGATGTCAGCTCATATCAACACTGCAGAATGTTTGAAGTGAAACTGGTAGCAGTTCGGAGCTGGTGGTCATCCCCAGCATATTCACAAGCCAGAGTGGATGACGGTCAAACTGACTGACTACTGAGAGAGGAATGTACAGGAGATGCTCCATATGCCGAGGGAAAGGAATCCAATCAGACCAGGAGATGTAGTACTCAAATTCAGAATAAAGGCACATATAATACTGAGGAGCCAGGAAGCCATAAAAACTAAACGTTTGAAAAACGTACACAGAGGACATGGCGTTGCGAATGAGGCTGTTAAGAAATGGTCGGTCGTGATCTTGCAGAAAATGCTTAAGGTGAATACAGAAACTATTTTTCGAGTTTTTAGAAGGTGTCACATTTTCTTCGTCGAATACATGAGCAGATACACATGGTATTGCTGACAACGTCCCTCTAAATATGCAAAATAATAGTTATTGTAGTAACTTGGGATCGGCTGTTCGAGCTGCACTTATGAAAGCAAAATTTAAATACAATAGATTCAAAAGCATTCAAACTCTCCTGTTTGAAATATTCCAATCACATATCTATAGGTGTTGTATAACTTTCCCTGCTGGGTTACGCTACCGAATCTAGCTGTAGCCTCTGACGGAATTGGAAGAATGTAACTTGGATTGTTAGGAGACGTGCTGTATGTGTCGAATGAATTCTCGGCAAAGTTCTTCTTAAGTGTCAAGGGGTCCCTTTTTGTTAGCATTGAGCCAACCAGCGTGAACTTCATTAGAGACAGATATTACGACGATGATCGCAGACGAGAAAAGTATTGAGACGTTTCCAAAAGTGATGGACACATAGCTCCAGAAAGTGGAGGTGAAGTAAGCATATCCATGTTTATTTTGGCGTGAAAAGGGCCATGTTAAGAAGGAATTTCGACAACAAAAAGTTAGAAAACACTGCAGGAGGAGGAAAAATATTAACAAACATAATCAGCTGAAAGGAAGAGGTAGGAGCAAGTGAAATGGAAACAGGTGACAAGACAAGGATTTTGCAAGAGCAACACCGAAAACGTGTAAGGGAGAGAGCAGAA